GACTCCACACTCATCTTGAAGCATGACTTGGGACTTGATCCCATGACTCTGGGATCATGGCCTGAGCTGAAACCAAGAGTTAGACATTCATGGGCACCTGGGTGGCTCAGTTGGTTACACATCTGACTTCAGCTCAGGTCATGATCTCATGGTTTGTGGGCTTGAGCCCTACATTGGGCTCTGTGTTGACAGCTCAGATCCTGGAGCCTGTTTCAGATTCTGTCTCCTCTCTCTGCTCCTCCCTCACTTGCACTCTGTCTCTCTCTCCAAAAATAAACATTAAAAAAAAGAGTTGGACATTTCAGCTGACTGAGCCATCCAGTGGTGTTTTTAAGTAGAAATACTGTGCTTTGTGTGACATAACCCTCTTCTCCATTTCCTATATGAAATTTTTAGTAAAATGGGTATTTTTCACTTTAAAACTTTACACAAAACAGAGTGAGAGAGATTTGGGCTAACAGCAGCAATGTGTGAAAGACTGCAGGTGGGAGGGGTTGTGTGTGTGGCCAGTTACCTGCCTTCTGCGCTCAGGGACTGCACCTGAATGGTGCTGCTCCAGACGGAGAGACAGGTTGTCAAAGGGACATTGACAAATTAGGGTGAACCCATAGAAGCTCATCCAGAATGTTAGAGTCAGATCTTGGAGAAGTCTCTAAAGAAAACTAGTGGAGTTATGTTGCTGAGACTCCAGCATGGGTGGGTGGGCCGCTGTTGTGCGAGGACCCCTGGAAGAGGTGAGAGGCAGACCGCCTTTTCGATAAATGTAAGAGAGTTTATATTAAATTCCTCTATCAAACAACTTAAAATTCACATTGAAATGATATTCATCAAAATGATGACTCCTTCAGTGGCAGAATGTTAGGTGATTTTTGTTGTTGTTGTTATTTATTTATTTTGAGAGACAGAGAGACCTGGTGGAGGAGGGGCAGAGCGCGAGAGAGAATTCGAAGCAGGTTCTATGCCGCCAACACAGAGCCTGAGGCGGGGCTCAACCTCACAAACCGTGATATCATGACCTGAGCTGCGATCAAGAGTCCAATGCTTAACTGACTGCGCCACCCAGGCATGTCTTAGTGATTTTAATTTCTTCTCTGTACTTCTTTGTGTAAATGTGTGTCACTTCTAGTAAACAAGCTTTTCTTAAGTCTCTATTAGATATACCCCATCTCCAAAGTCCCAGTTCAGTTACCTGAAAACTTCCACCATTGCTGCTTCTCTCAGCTACCACACAGGTGGATTTAGTTCATCCTGAACCTCACAATTTGTATAAATAAAAACTCAGCTCTGAGCTTAGGAAAGCAGAGGACTCCCCAGTCCCACAAGATGTGCCTTCCTGATATGGCAGTTGAAGGGCCAAACCCTTTGTCCATTAAAAAAAAAAAAAGTTTCCTTCAAAAGAAATTCTGACAATTGAAATATCTCCATATTCTTATTTCAGTAAGATTATTCTGACAGTTGTGCAAAAATAGAATGGTCTTAGTTCCAAGTCCCTGAAAGTTTTATAATAGAACATGAAAGAAAACCCAGATATTGTAAGGATGTTGGCCCAAGATCGGAGGTTGGACCACATAGCCTTTACTTTTTCTTCTAACCCTCACATTTGTAGATCTCAGTAGGACCTCTCATCAAGGGGCCTAATTATGTCCTGCATTTCACTTCCAAATCCTCTCCGGACACCACAGACCCCTTACATCCTAGCACTATGGTTCACACGATGTAGACTCCGCATAACACTAGCAAACACTTAACTGGTTTCTATCGCCTGCCAGTCAGTGTTCTAAGCATGTAACGGGAGGAATTGACTCGTAATCCTCAAAGCAGCCCACGTGAGGTGGGTCTTCTAATCTTTCCATGTTGAGGATCTTGCCTGAGGTCCCATGGATTACGAGGGGCAGAGCTGGGATTTGAACCCAGGCAGGCTGTCTCTAGAGGGAGCCTCTCAACCAACATCACGCGGCATCTCACTTGATAGAGGTTTGAAGTTGCTCCAGTTCTGAATCCTGAGATCTATGTGGCCTTTTGGCTTGGTTCTGGCTGGCTGGGACAGGGAGGCGGACCTGTGGTTGGACACATCAGCAGCAGGGAGTGCCACATACAGTCCATGTTTGAAAGCCAAACGCAGGGGCGCCTCTGTGGCTCAATGGGGTGAGCGTCCGACTTCAGCTCAGATGGTGATCTCAGGGTTCATGAGATCACGCCCTGAGTCGGGCTCTGTGCTGACAGTGCAGAGGCTGTTTCAGAGCCTCTGTCCCTTGCTCTCTACTCCTCCCCTCCCAAAAATAAATAAACATTAAAAAAAAAAAACACCCACTAGGGGCGCCTGGGTGGCTTAGTTGGTTGAGCGTCCGACTTTCGCTTAGGTCATGATCTCACAGTTCGTGGGTTCGAGCCCCGCGTCGGGCTCTGTGCTGACTGCCAGCTCAGAGCCTGGAGCCTGTTTCAGTCTGTGACTCCCTCTCTCTCTGACCCTCCCCTGCTCACGCTCTCTCTCTCTCTCTCTCCTAGAAATAAATACAAATATTAAAAAAAAAACCCACAAAACCCTAAAAAAAAAAAAAAAAGTCAAAGGCAGAGAGTAATAGTGGGATAGTTGCATCAAACCCAGAATGGGAGTCAGAGTGATTGACAGGAACTCAGGAATTTTTGCTGTGGGAAGGTGTTTTTATTTTTATTTTTTACAAATAGTTTATTGTCAAATTAGTTTCCACATAACACCCAGTGCTCATCCCCACAAGTGCCCTCCTCCATGCCCATCCCCCTCCCCCCCACATCCATCGGTCCTCAGTTTTTGGTCGGAAGGTGTTTAAAAAAAAATTTTTTTTTTGAGAGTGTGCTTGAGTGCACACACGAGCGGGGGGAGGGTCAGAGAGAGAGAGAGAGAGAGAGAGAGAGAGAGAGACTCTCAAGCAGCCTCCACGCTTGCCGAGCTTGACCCAGGGCTGGATCCCAAGTCCCTCGGATCTTGACCTGAGACAAAATCAGGAGTCCCACAATCAACCGATTGAGCCACCCAGGGCCCCTGGGAAGTCTTAAAGGGCAACCAGCCCACCCACTCCTTGGTGCAACGTGCTGTCGTGACAGGGAACTGGGTGGTGGGGCTTCTTCCTGCCTGGGCCATCTGACTAAACCCTGGGTTTGCACTACGAGTCAAGCGGGTTCCTGACTCCACCTCCCCGCTTCCGTAGCCTCATTCTCCCCCTCCTGGCCCCTGCCTTGCGCAACACCGGATTCATCAGCATCCCAACCCTCCGTTCTCGCTGGCAAACACCTCGCGTGGAATCTTGCTTTTGTTCCAACTCAAATGAGATTAAACCTCCGTGGACAGAATTAGGTATTTTTTATGGTTATTTTTATATTCTTACAACTCCTACATTTACTTAAATAATGACTTAAAAAAAAAAGACTTTCAGGTTGCAAACCTGGCCTCCGCTGCTAATTAGACTCCAGAGATCTGTCCGGAAAGGTATAAATCGTGAAAAATAATTACTGCTGAAAGTATTGCTATGACAAATGCATTGACCAAACTCTGACACAGAAGAGAGGGGGTGGAGAGAAGCGTCTTTGCGGGCTCCGCTCGGGCTGGGGCTCCCTCCTGCCGCACAGCGGGCGGGCCCCCCACCCCCCACCCCTTCCCAGGCGTCACGTGGCCGCTGAGCTCACGCGCGTGCGAGCCTTTGTCACCCGCCTGGCGCCGCGGAGCCAACGGTGACGGCTGTTTTCTCCCTTAACGCACTCGGGGGAACGCCTGCAGCCCCCACCCCTGCGGGCCGGCTCCGCGGGGCAGCCCAGGAAACCGCCCCTCCTGCGGGCGGAGGTCCGGCGCCTTGAGGACCCTCCCCTCGGCAATGGCTTTCCCAGGTCTTCCGGCGGCAGGGCCTTCCTCCGCAAGGAAATCTCCTCGGTCGCAGGGAAAGTTCTCGAGCTGCAGGAGGCACCGGCGGTCTGGACCCCTCCCCACGCCCCCCCTCCCCCGGCTGCCGCAGCCCCCTCCCCTCGAGCGCCCGCGGTGGAGCCAGGCTGCCCCGGAAGGATCTGACCGGCCACTTCCTGCAATTGTGTCTCTGGACAGAGTCCTCGGGCGTCCAGCGTTCCCAGTCCCCCCTCCGGAGCCCGGGTCTCCCACGTCCCCGCCCCCACCCCTGCTCGCCGCCCGCGGCCTCCCCTCCGTCCCCTCCCGGCCCCGCCGCTGGGGTCGGGGTGGGGGGGAGCCGGGCGCGCGTGGCTACCGGCCGTGCGGGCGCGGGGCGCGGGGACGCCGAGAACGCGCCCGGACGCACGGCGGGCGGGGGGCGCGGAACCGCGAGAGGCGTCGCCGCCGCGGGGGGAGGACGAGGGCCTCGGGGCGCCGCCGCCTGAGCTCGGCCCGCCCGCCCTCCGGGTCCCGCGGGCGTGGGCTCCGGGAAGAGGCTCGGGGAGCCCGGGGGCGGGGCCTGTCTGCGCCTGATGGATGGCCCCGGAGAAATGTCTGGCACGTTCCTTCCCGGCGGGGGAGGGGAAGCTGCAGCCGCCTCTCCCCCGCATTCGTTCGCATTCCCGCCCGCCTGTCCGGAAGGGCTGGGGGTGGGCGGCTGGAGCAGGGCCAGGGAGACTCGTTTTGCACACTATCACTCACATTTGTCTACACTGGTGTGGGGGTGGAGGGGCAGGTGGACAGTCCCCAAATCTCAGTTGAGGTCGGAGAGGGTCCATCCCGGCGCCCAGGCCTCTCCCTCGAGCCCCCACGCTCGCCGCACACTGGGTCGTGAGCCGTCCCCACCTGCTGTGGCCCCGCGGCCCTGTCGGGATGGATGGGGCCCGAACAGGCCTCGGGGACTGGACGGGGGTGTCGAGGGCGGGGGGCAATGAGGGAAAACTGCCGGCGTCTTTCCACGAACCGAGGCAGTGGCACCGAATGAGGCCCCGTACTCTTCATTCCCACACGCTGGCAGTAAAAAATGAAAAATGAAAAAGCCAGTTTCTCTTAAGGCTGTCCTCGATAAGACAGTAAAAATTTATAAACATGTGATTGGTTTATTATTTAAATGAGTTAATAAGGACTTGTTTTCATTTCTAATATAGTATATATGGATGGATTGAATCCACATAAAACCTCTTTGGAGCCCTCAGTAATTCTTAAGGGTGTAAACAGGTCCTTAGACCAAAAGTGTCAGCACTGCTGGGGTAATTTACAGGCTGGCATGAAGATACCAGTCCCCAGCCCAGGAAGCATCTTATGCGGAGCAGAGGGCGGGAGCATGGTATGTTTTCTGGCCACCCACTGGCTGCCCTTCCAGAGACATTCACTGGAATAAAGATGTTAATGGTCTCTGCTCATAGGAGAAACAAGGCATGCCGCTCCCCCCTCCACTGTGCACGGTACCCAATGCTGGGGAGGGTGTGGGGGGGGTGTTTGTGGCCCACGTGGGCTGGACCTAGATGTGGACTCCCCTCACCCCCTAGATTCACCTATAGTCCCTTTTCCTGTTACCTCTAAGGTGGCTCTTCCCCGTCCCCATAGAAGTCACAGTGTCTCAAGGTGGAGTCCACCCCCTGGCCTGGCTCGAGTCCGGGTGGAGAGTGGGTACACTTGTCTGTGTGTGCCACTGGGTATGACCGTGTGCTTTGGTCCAGTCCCACGAACTCCCAGGTTCTCCCCGACACCACTCCTCCATCAGAGGTCACGTCTGGTGTCTCCACTGGGGTTAGCAAGCTTGGGTTGGTCAAACAACTACTCCGATCCTTTGGCAGTGGGGCTGCTGTGAGTGAAGCCGGGACCTGGCCCCTCTCTGTTACCTCTGGCGCAGGGAAGGGGGCGTGGAAGGCCAAGGTGGGGGGCAGTTCAGCCTCGAGTGCTACCACTCCGCTCCCCCAGGAGCCAGTAGGTCCTCACTTTGCCTTTGCCCTGGAGGGAGAGAGAAGAGGAGGTAGGGATAGGGAGTCGTACACTGACCCACCTTCCCAAATCAGAGGCAAGGCTTCGGGATGGGAGTGGGGTTGGCTGCTTGAGAAGGGGTGAGGGGAGCCACCCTCTGGTCCACAAGGGATGGCGAGGGTAGGGCCTTTCTCTCTACCTTCATTTCTACGTCCCCTCGAAGCTCGAGCTCGAAACCACCGAACTCTTCCAGGACAGCCTTGGTCTCAGAAGACAAGTGGATCTTCAGGGCTGGGAAGGACAGGGAGGGTGAGGGAAGGTGGGGGATGGAAGAAATGGCGGGGAGATTGGCACCTGCAGCTCGCCCTCTGGTCGTTCTTAGGAAGCTTCCTCCTTCAGAGCCCCAGGCCCACGTGGTGTCTGGCGTACTGGCCTTTCCCTTAGAATTCGAGAGCTGTGCTGTCCAACACCGTAGCCGCTAGTCACTGGGGGCTATTTAAATTTAAACTAGGGGCGCCTGGGTGGCTCAGTCAGTTAAGCGTCCGACTTCGGCTCAGGTCATGCTCTCACAGTTCGTGGGTTCGACCCCGCGTTGGGCTCTGTGCTGGCAGCTCAGAGCCTGGAGCCTGTTTCGGATTCTGTGTCTCCCTCTCTCTCTGACCCTCCCCTGCTCACGCTGCCTCTCTCTCTCTCTCAGAAATAAAACATTAAAATTTTTTTAAATAAAAAAATGAAACTAATTAAAACTAAATACAGTTAAAAATCCAGTGCTTCATTTGCACAAGCACATTTCAAGTGATCGATAGGGTCCCGTGACAGAGACTGCTGGGATGGACAACACGAATTATAGAAAGAAAATCCTAGGAGATAGCATTCCAAAGTGTCATCAGGCTCCAGACGGACAGTGTAGCATGGCGATCAGCGGCTCAGAGTTTGGGTCCTGTTCTGTCTAGTGAATCCCAGGTGGGACAGTTGCTTGGAGAAATAATATAACTCTCTGTGCCTCATTTTCTTAGTCTGTAAAATTCTGATGGAGACAGTATCCATCTCAAGGCCTCCTCATGAGGATCAAACAAACTGCCAACCAGGTACTTCAGCCGAGTCGGCCACGCAGGAAGCACTCTGCAAGTGCTTGTAATACTCACGCTCATTTTGTGGCTGAGGGAACTGAGGCCTGGGGGGCAGGCATCTGCCCAAACTGCTGGGGTCAGAGCCAGGCTCTAACTCCTGACCTGGTACCTGCCCCCCCCCCCCCGGCTAAACTCACTCCCAGCACTCCTGGGGGCTGCGTCAGAGCGGCCTCGTTTTTGTTGTTGAAACATTTCTGAGAATGTGCTCCTTGAAGACTGGACCTTAGTGAGAGGCTTTCCCCTGCTCTCACTGCCCCAGACGCAGTCACCAGGGAGCGCCTGCTGAGTACAGAAGTAGCCCTTCTCCCGGGAGACCGCCCCCCCCCCCAGCTGATTACCCGTCTGGGTGATCTTCGTACCCCAGAGCCTGGCGCTCAGTAGTTATTCAGCGCCTGTTTCCTGAATTGAATTGTGCTGGACGCAGCAGGAGCGTGCTGTGTCAGGTACTAGGTACCTGCTGCGCGCCCAGGCCTGTGCTGGGGTCCCAGGGGCCTGGGGCAGGTGTCCTTTTAGAGATAAACAGTTGAAGCTCAGAAAAGCTGAAGGACAGTTGTGTCTTAGTCATGTCATATGGCCTTCGTTCGGAACTCTTCTAAGGTACACATTTTATCCTCTTACAGATGAGGAAAACCGAGGCTCAGGAGGCGTGACAAATTGACCCACAGCTGTGTGGGCCGCGAGCAGAGATTCACACCCAGCCCTCTGCCACACGCAAGAGCCAGCGGAGGGGCCCTGTGGGTGGGGTGAGCCGCCTGCCACTGACGCGCTGAAGCCTGTCAGGCCCTCCCGCCAGCAGCCGCCTTACCTTCCCCATTAGACTCCATCCTGGAGGCGGTGTTGACTGTATCTCCGAAGAGGCAGTAGCGGGGCATCTTCAGCCCGACCACGCCTGCGCACACGGGTCCTGGCGGGGTGGAGGCAACGTGGGGAGGGGCGTTCAAGGGGTGGGATCTGAAGCCCCGGGGAGTCCGTGTGTGTGTGTGTGTGTGTGTGTGTGTGTGTGTGTGTCTGTCTGTCTGTCTCCCTCACCTGTGTGGATGCCGATTCGCAAGCGCAGCTCCTCCTGCGGCCGGTGGCGGATGCGGAAGGAGCGTACCGCGTCCAGCAGCGCCAGGGCCATGCGGGCCACCTCGCGGGCGTGCAGCAGCCCATTCCGCACCGGGAGCCCGGACACGACCATGTAGGCGTCGCCAATGGTCTCCACCTGCCGGGCCGCCAGAGGATGCAGGACCCAAGCGCTGGAAATTTCTCTTCCCCGCGCCACCCCCACACGGGTTCGGTGACCCCATCCGTTGCGTCCTTTCCCTGCCTGTCCCTGGGTCTTCTCTCCTGAGGCTCTGTCATTCTGCCCTTCACCTTTCTCTGACCCTGTCCATCACCATCTTTCTGTCCCTCTCCATCCCTGTTCCCACCCTCACCTTGTACACATCGAAGTTGTCTATGACGGCATCAAAGCACGTGTACAGGTCATTGAGCAGGGTCACCACCTGCAAGGGAAGAGAAGCCAAGACGGGTGTGGAGTAAGGGCTCAAGTGGGAACAGCGAAGGCAGGCCCGAAGGCAGGCCTGATGCGACGGAAAGGCTGGCCAAGCACGCGCGCCCGGCCCCCACCCGCGGTCACGCCCGCACTGACCTGCATGGGTGTGCTCTCTGCCGACAGGGCCGTGAAGCCCACGATGTCGCTGAAGTAGATGGTGACACTGTCAAAGGCCTCAGCCTGGACCGTCTCCCCCCGCTTGAGCTGCTCGGCCACTGAGCTGTGGGGGCGGGGCAGGGTCAGTGCAGGCAGTGGGGCCGGGACGCGAGGCCGAGGGCCGGCGCGCGGGGCACTCACTGGGGCAGGATCTGGCAGAGCAGGGCCTCGGCCTTGCGCTTCTCCTCCAGGTAGGCCTGGGTCCTGTCCTCCACCAGCCCCTCCAGGTTGTTGGCGTACTGCTCCATGCGGGACAGCAGGTTGTCCAGGATGTTGCTGCTGTGCTCCCTGAGGCCCGGAAGCGGTGAGGGGCCGTGAGAGAGCCGCTGGAGCGGCCCCCCCCACGCTCACCCAACCCAGGCTGCATGTCAGCCCGGTGTGGGGTCCCTGGAGTGGCCAGGCCTGGGGAGCATGGCATGGGGTGGGGGCGGGGGGGGACAGGGAAAGGGCAGGAGGAAAGTTCCATTCGTCTCCGAGACCCCAGAGCCAGGGAGCTGCAGTGAAACTGGCTACTTCCTGCGCCTTTGTTGAACAGAAACAAGTTAGAAGGAGGTGGACAGGGATCAGTCAGGACCGAGTGTGGGCACACGGGCTGGCAGAGGGGTGTGCGGGAATCGGTGGGGCACAGAGCAACAGACAGCCCCCGAGGCTGGGTGGGAGGCCAGGGGTGTGTGCTCCCCTCTGCTCTGCACCCCTGAGGAGGAGGGCCCGGTGCGCCAGAGTGGGCTCCCTTGCCACTGCTGGGAAAAGACTTAAGTGTGGGGCACAGGGTGGCTGTTGGGGGCGGGGGCGGGGGGCTGAGAGATGCACGAACACCAGCAACCTGTTGAACTTGCGCAGCATCAGGCGAATCTGCTGGAAGGGCGGCCGCTCCTGGGGCTCCTCGGCCCAGCACCGCTGCATCAGCTGGCCCAGCCCCTCCAGGTGACTCTGCAGGGCCAGGGAGGGCCGGAAGGGGGGCTGCTCGCCCCGACTCACACGCTCCACGATCTCTGTGGTGGGGCAAGAGGCACTGAGGGCCGCGGCCAGCCCAGGGCTAGTGAGACACAGTGGGGAGGTCCAGGCCAGGCCAGGGCGCTGGGGCAGGCAGCCACGGAACATTTCAGGAGGCAGGTATGGTGGTGTTTCCAGGGTCCCTCACCCTGTGGCAGGGCTAGGGGACACGTGGGTCTCTCACCTTTGGGGCTGAGGTCTAAACCCTCCACGTGGAATACCCCGCTCCTCAGGGCAATCTCTTGAAGGATGATCCCAAAGCTGTACACATCACCCGCCTGGGAGCCCCGGGCAGGCGGCGAGGCCATTCGCAGGAGCTCCGGGGCCGTCCACAGCTTTTCTGCAGGTCAGAGGGCGGGAGTCACCAGGCCAAGGGCCCTAAGCCAAGGGGTGGGGGGAAACAAGGCCCTGGAGGACATGGCTGGTCAATCGGCAGCCGTCACACGGAGTGCTACGGAAGCCACAGCCTCGGGCCACTGTGTTGGGCTCTCCTCTCCACTGGCAAATGAACCCAACCAGGAATCCAGAAAGGCATGCCAAGCCCTTCAGAGGCCAGGCATCCTTCGGGCTGTGCTTGGAGTGGGGCAGGTCTTGGGGACCAGAGTGGGGGCTCACTGGCATAGAGGATGTGGCCTTGCTCTGGTTCTGGGTCCCTGAAGCTCTCCAGCCCAAAGTCGGTGATCTTGAGCACGAAGCGCCCGTCCACCACACAGTTGGAGGACTTGAGGTTGCCGTGAGAGCAAATGGCCCCGTTGTGCAGGAACAGCATGCCCTGGCGGTTTGGGGAGGCAGAGGTCTTGGTGTGAGTGAGACCCACAGTCAGGGCCAGGGCAGAAGTACGGCTGGCCGCTGCCCCACGCATCCCCTGGGGGATCCCGGCCCCACCTTGACGATGTCATTGGTAAGAGAGTACCGGAACATCCAGTCCAAGGTGATGCTCTCGTTCTCCAGAATGTCCTGCTGGGCGACAAGAGTCAGACAGGCACCCAGCAGACCCCAGGAGGTATGCAGGGGCCGAGTCACACAAACCGGCACAAAAAGACAAAAACTTGGATTTGCTCTCGTGCCCCCCTTTACAGACGGGGCAGATAAAGTCAGAAAGGAGTTTGCCGGGGGCCATATGGCAGTAGGCAACAGAACCAGGGCGAGGCCCATGTCCCCTGACCCCGCGGGTCCCCTCACCTGCAAGCTCCCACGGGGACAGTACTCTGTGAGGATACAGATGTTGGGGGGGTCAGTGCAGGCACCCACAAACCTGGTCAGGTGTTCGTTCTGCACGTCCCGCATCTGCAGGTGGAAGGAGCATCAGGAGCCTGGCAGAGACCTCCCTCCTCACCAAGTGGCCCTCCCACCCCCAGGGGCCCTAGTGTCCTCAGTGCCTGTTCACTCCCTGCGGACACCCCGGGACTCTGGCGACTCCCTCCGCAGCTCCTGCTCCCCACTCACTCTGCCTCCTAATCCCGCACCCACCAGGGGCATCGAGTGCAGCCCCTCAAGGAACCCCCTCCAGGCTTCCTCTGCTAGTCTCTTCTCCCCTCTGGGACTCTCTTCCTCCAATATGCAGGGTCCATCCCTTTCGTAGGGTACCCCAGAGTCCCCCCACCTCCTGTGTCCCCGGGGACCTCCCCTAGGCCACTGCCTCACTCGCCCGACGTTACATGCTTCAGTTCAAACAGCACTTTTCGAGTCAGCTCGATGCGCTTACGATTCACACGCTTCACAGCCACGAGGTTGCCCTGGACAAGGAATGGAGGTTGTCACTGTGAGATGGCCCAGTGGTGGTGATGCCAATTGCTGGCCCCGGGACCCACCCCGAGCCGGAGGACTGCAGCGCTGCCCGCCCCGAGGACCCACACTCTTCCTTTCCCCTGGCCCACCTTATAGTACGCCGTCTTGGCAAACACCTGGAACTGGCCCTCTGTGGTCAGCAGGGAGCCGTAATTGGAGCCTCTCTGGAGGGACAGAGCAGGAGGGACGGGCAGCCCGGGAGCCCCGCCACCAGCTCGGCTCTCTGTCCTGACGGCCTGAGCTCCGCGCCCTCCTGCTTCTCATTCCACATTAGGAGATCCTTTCCTCATTTTTAAATGTTTTCAATGTATATTTTTGAGAGAGAGAGAGAGAGAGAGAATCCCAAGCAGGCTCTGCATTGTCAGCACATAGCCCGACGTGGGGCACGAACCGTGAGATCATGACCTGAGCCGAAATCAGGAGTCAGCCGCTTAACTGACTGCGCCACTCAGGCGCCCCTGTTTTATTTTTTTAAATGTATTTTCACATCCACTATGTTTGATCTTTGAAAGCCTCTGGTGCAGGAAGCTCTGCGCACGTGACCATCACCTGAGGTAGTCTCTGAGGGGAACAGGACTTGTCCAAGGTCACACAGCAAGCAGAGGCAAGGCTGGGATTAGAACCTGGCTGCCCGCCCTGCCCAGCAGGCACTGCCCGGCCCCGGCTCCCCTCTGTCCGCCCCCACAAGTGCTTCTCACCCCGCTGAGGGTCAGCCGGCTGCCTGCGCTCCGGAGGTGCCTGTCCAGGCTGCTGGGCTGCACATCCTCCCAGCGGACCCGCCACAGCTCTGAGGCCAGTTCCTTCTCCAGCTGCATCTTCCTGGGGCATGAAACCTCCATGGGACCCATGTCTGAACCCCGGACCCCGGCCTCAGAGCCCAGGGCCACTGTGTGTGCTCAGAGACGGCCAGGGGCATCAGCCCGGCGGCCGACAGCCGGGCCGGGCCGGGAGGTGTGGCCCAAGCTTTGCCTGCCTCGTGGGGACCTTGGGCAGTCAGTTCATGTCTCTGAGTCTCATGTCCTCATGTCCAAATGTCCTGATTTGGGGATGGGCGACCTCGACATTTATTTCAAAGCATTGTTATATGCACAAAAAGAAATATTGGGCGTGGAGGTGCCTGCTCACCCAGCCTGGACTTTCCTGTCTCCCTCCTCCGGTGCCTGTTAATGTCTGCATTTCACGCCAGCCTCCTGCTGGGAGGTGGCGGGGGGGGGGGGGGGGGGGGGGGGGGGGGGGGGGTCGACCTCCCCTCTCCAGTCTGTGCTCGGCACCCTTGCTCAGCTCACTGGGCCCAGTCCCACAGGGGTTGAACCCTTGTTCCCCGTCAGGTCTGCATGAGCAGGAAGGGAGGGCGGACCAGCCCACAGGCCAGAACTCATGCGCCTGTGATGCCAGGCTGCTCTGCCCTTCTCAGATCTCCCAGACCCTTCGGGCCCCTGTACCCTCCTCCCTGTCTCCCCTGGCCTTCCTCCTGTCCCGCCCCCGCCCCCAGGGCCCCGCCACCTCGCCTGCTAGGTCTCCAGGCCCCCCGGCCTCACTCCCCACCCTCTTCCAAGTCTCACCTGTATATGAAGAAGGAGATGGTCAGGATGCTGAGCAGGGAGAGGCTGCCCACCAAAGCCAGCACTTCCAGGGTGGAAAAGTGGTCTGCGGAGGAGTCCAAGTGGTAGCAAGAGAGATTTTGGTTAAGAGGGCACGAGGAGGAACCTTCTGACAGTCAGTCAGTGGACTAGGAAGGTGGATGGAGGGAGGTAAAGGCAGAAGGCTCTCCAGAAAACCCTGTGTGGGAGAGGAGCACCCGTCTGACTCCTGCAGCAGGAGCGTCTCCAGCTGGAGGCCCGGAAGGCAAGAGGCAGTCACCTTGGTTGCACGCTGGGTCCTCGTTGTCAAAGCCACACTTGGGGATATCAGGAGGTGGGTGGCCCAGGGGCCAGTTCAGTTCGTGCCCTGGCACGGCCACCAGCTCTCGAGAGGTCCCGTTGTAGTTCAGAACCACCTACAGGAGGGCGGGAGTGGTAGGCGGGCAAGGCCTGGGGTGACGCCTCCCGTCCAGGGAACTGAGCTGCCTCCCACCTGCCCGGTCTCTGCTCCCCCGGCCTCTGCTCCCCAGGCCTGTGTCTGGGCTGTGAACAGTTTACCAAGCCCCTCATACCCCGGTCATCAGAGTGGGAAGGGCTGAAAACTACTCAAGGGCTTTGTAAAGAAAACTCCATGTCGCACCCCTACTCAGCATCAGGGAGTTTATAATTTTGGGCTGAAGCACATCGGAAACAGGAAAAGACAGTGTTCTCAGTCCACATTCCCAGACCTAATCCATGTATCCCTCCTCCAGGAAGTCTTCCCCGAATGATCTGCTCCTTAGCGTTTGTGGCCTCAATTCCTTCCTGTTCCTGACTGAATTTAAAGAGCCGTGTGTGCCCCCCCCTCCCCCTCATGAGCCTCTCTCTGCTGGGAGAGGGGTCTGCCTGTCTTAGGAGATGTGGGACTTCCTGAAGGTAGGGCTGTGCCCCCTCCTCAGACATGGGGTTCCTCAAGGGGAGTGCCTGTGAGTCCCTGTCATTCTGGTTGCTCCCCTAGACCAGAGCTGGGTCTCTTCTATCCAGGGCTCTCCAAAGGTGAGCAAGCACGGTAGGGTGACTACGGAGCCAGGGCCACGGGGGAAGGGGGGGGGGCAAGACATCATTCCCAGATGGCACTGTCTTGTGGGGGTACAATCTTACCTGGAAAGTGCCAGTCTCAGGATGCATATCCCAGAGAGAGAAGTCTGTCTCCCGATCGCCATTGCCATCCATCTTCCAGTAGCCTGTCACCCCTGGGGCACGAAGGAACATGGCTGTTTTGAGAAAGTGGGAGTTCGGGAGGGTACCCACCACCCACCCCTACCTGATCTCCATCCCTTGATCTCCTTTGCCTTCCCTTCCAAACACATCATAGGATACGTATTACATACAATAACAATAACGAGAGGGACATACATTTCAGCAGAAGGAATGAGTGAAGTTGGGCACTTAGGAGGACTTCCTGCTGGAGGTGGGGATGGGGAAGGAGGCCCGCGGGGAGCTGTGGAGCTTCCTTACAGGAGAGGGAAGGGCTGGCGTGGGTAGGTGACCCCTGAGCCGCAGGCCAGAGGCTTCCCGTGGCCTCCTGCTCGGGGCGCCCCTAGCTGGACTCTCCCTGCCGCCTCCAGCCCCTGACCTTGGAAGCTTCGGTTCCACATCCGCTGAGTGACAGCCTCGCCATCAGTGAAAGTTCCCCCACGTGCCAGAGTCTCCGTCACCGCCTGGACGTAGAGCAGAAGCCCATCGTGGAAGGATGCTGGGATGGTGTTCACCTGCAGAGGAAGCGGGGTTGGCGGGGCAGGGGTGCGATGGGCGGAGGGCGCGGGGGGTGTGTGTGTGCGAGGGGCGTGGGCGCGAGGGGAGGGCCGTGGGGAAAGGGTTGGGGGCAACACCCCTGCGGACAGAGATGTGGCTATTTGTGAGACGCCTCCACACAGGCCTCTGCCTGGGACCCTGCTCGCAGACAGCAGGACGCTGGTGGGGACCTGACTTCCAGAGGCTGGACAGCTTGTCCGTGTCCCTCCAGTTGTCAGGAGAAGGTGGGAGCGGTGGGGAGGGGAGGGGAGGCCTGGGAATATGCAGGTGGCTGAGAGAACAGGCTGGACACCAGCAGGACCGAGGCGTCCGTGCTGGAGGGTCCCTGGACCCCTCCTACCAGGCCGTCCTCCAGGGTGAAGTTGAACTGCTCCTGGGCCAAGTGCTTTAGCTGCTGCAGGAATTCCAAGTACTCGGGATTGTCCGGCTCTTTATACGTAATGATTTTGGCGGCCTGAGGAGGGTCAGCCGAGAGGGGAGAGCTGGGAGACCACGCAGGCCTCCCCCCCCGCCCCCCCCCCCGTGCATCTCAGCTTAGCTCAAGGTGCAAGTGGACCCACTCGGTGCCACGTGTGAGGTGCTCCCTGCTCCAGTGCGACCACTTCCCAAGTCCTGTTAGTCTGTGGGGCTGGGACCCTCTCCCGCCGGAAGACCATCCGGCCGTCTTTGTGGCCCCCCAGCTCTGAAGCCTCCTGGCCCCTCCTGCCCTCCCTCACCAACCCCCGAGCAGTCAAGGACCCCTTTTCTGGAGCCCTTCGACCCCGAGGCAGCCAGCGCCCGGAGCTATGTGCCACCAGCACAGAGCCCCGCGGCCTGGGCTCCGCCGGGACTCACCTGGAAGGCGCGGCGGGCGCGCGCGTCCTGCCCGTCCCCTCTCTCCCAGGGCCTGGGGGGCGCGCGGCCGCGGGCACCGCGCAGGCTGAGTCCGAACAGGTCCAGGTGGAAGAACACATACTCCTCGCCCCCCAGGCCCGCTTCCAGGGCCAACAGCATCAGGGTTCTGAAGGCGTCCGGGGAGCTGCATATGTAGATAACTGGGGGGCGGGGGTGGTCAGAGAGACGAGAGGGAAGCCCGACCCGGAGAGCGCGACACGGACTCCGGACCGGGCTCGGCCCCGCGGGGGGGGGGGGGGGGGGGGGGGGGGGGGGGGGGGGGGGGGGGGGGGGGGCAGGGGAGGGGAAGGAGCAGACTCCGGAGAGTCGGAATCGCGGAGCCAAAGGTGGAGAAGGTGGGGTCAGCTCGGGAGGGAGGGGGGAGGCGGGCCGGCCGCAGGGGAGAGGGCGTGTGGGAGGGAAGATGGGGGGGGAGAGGCTGCTGGGAGCTGACCAAACACGGAGGGGGAAAGCAGAGGTGGGCGCTAAGCCGGGGGCCGACGGGCTGTGCCCCCCACCCCCGTGGCCCGGGGGAGGCGGTGGGAAGCCGGTGGCGGAGCCCGCAGGGGAGGGCCGCCCCCTCACCTCGGCCTTTGCGCCTCACGGTCCGCAGCAGCAGGGAGTAGTGGTGGAGGTCGCCCTCGGCGAACTCCAGGTGGTCCACCTTGATGTCGAGGCGCTCGCGCAGGCGCACGTACAGCCCCTCGACCACGAAGAAGCAGGGCTGGTCGTCGCCGGGCCGGTAGGCGTAGAGCACCAGCGCCTGGCGCCCCCAGCCCAGCCGTCGGTGCAGCGCCGCCACGAAGTCGCCCAGCTTGGCGTGGCTGGGCCCCGCGCGGGTGGTCAGCGCGTACTCGTCCTTGGCCCCGAAGCCCAGCGCCGGCGCGCCGGCCGTCAGCAGCGGCACCCGCCAGTGCGCCGTGAAGCGCCCCACCGGGGCCGCGGCGTACACGCAGCCGGGGCCCAGGAACACCGCGGGGCTGTGCTCCCACTTGAGGTCCACGGCGGCCAGCGGCGCGGCGGTGTCGGAGCAGACGCCCAGCGCGTTCTCGCTGCTGCCCAGCACCGTGCGCACCGTCCAGCCGGGCAGCCAGTCGGGCCGCGCCCTCACCCGGGCCAGGGCCAGCTCCACGGCCGGCCCCACGCGCGCCCACGACCACGGGTACGAGGTGTTGGCCAGCGGCAGCACCACGGCCACCGTCAGGTTTCCCGCGTGGCCGCCGGGGAGCAGCAGCAGCAGCAGCAGCAGCGGCGGCGGCAGGAGCAGGCGGGCGCCCGCGGGGCGCCCGGGGCGCAGCATGACCTCAGCGGGCAGCGCGGCGCGCGGGCGCTCCCACCAGGGCCTCCTGGGCCCCCTCCGGCTCAGCGGCCGGTCGCGGGCACCGGGCGCGCCCACCGCGGGGCACGCTGCCCGTCCGGCTGCGGCGTGAGGGGCGCCTGGGGGGCGCCGCGGGGCAGGTGGGCGCGAGCCGCGGGGCGCCGTGGCCTGGAGGACGCGCGTGGGGGAGCGCGCCGGTGCCCGTGTGTTAGAAGGCGCTGGAGCGCTCGGGGGAGGGGGTGGGGGGGGGCGCGGGCGAGGGAAGGGGAGCCGAGGGTGTGCGTGCGCGCCTGAGCGCTGCCCGGGGAAGGTGCCCGCGGGGGCGTCCGGCCGGCTCAAGTCCCCGGCTGTCCGGGGGGGACAGGGGAGGACCGGAGCCAGGCTCCGAGCCCTTCCTCCCGCCGCTTCCCCTCCCAGACTCGGCGACTGGATCTTTAACCCCTTCGTCCCCGCCCCGAAGTCGCGGACCTGTCCGCGCCCAGCCCGCGCGCTTTCCCCGAAGACCCTCAGCGCCTTCCTCCCTCGAGAGCCGCGGCGCGGAAGGGGCTCGCTCGCCGGGGTCGCGAGCAGGCCCGAAGAGCATCTGGTGTGGGGGCAGCCGGGGCCCTTTTGCGCCCCCCACCCCCGCCTCCTCCCTCCCTCCCTGGTTCCGTTTGGGGAAGAGAGCTGTGCTGGTTTGGGATCTTGGCAAGAAAAGGTGTGAGTGTGCGAGTCTGGGGGTGGGCGGGAGGGTGGCGGGTTTCTGGAAAGGGCGTTAAAGCAGGTGAGCCCAGGTCCCCATGACCCAGTCCACCGAGGACCGTCCCCTCCCCCCAGCTTCCAGATTGAGCGGGTTAGTGCAGAAAAGGGACCCAGAGGAAGGGCAGAGTTAACCTTTTAGTTCCCAAAAGGCTGTAGGAAGGGGGAGCAGAGCGCGCGGTGGCTGGGGTGGGGAGAAGGAAGAAGTGACTCGGGGCCGCTCCCGGAATGTGAGTGTGGGTTCGCGGCGGCGGCGGCGGGAGACGGTGTTGGAAGTGACCCGGAGGGGACGCCCGCGGAGGCGAGGGTTTGGGGGCCCCGGCCGCCGGGCGCGTTCTCCGCGCCGCGGAGTCGGTGTGCCCTCTCGCGGCCAGCCTGAGCCACCGACGCCGCGGCGCCGCCGCCCTTGCGGCGCCGGACCCTCCAGCCATCCGTGCGCCTGTGCCGAGTCCGCGCCTGGGGGGCGCTCGGCTTGGGACCAACTGCAGTAATGTGACCTGAGCGACTGCTGCAACAGAGGGACGGATAAGTTGCTAGAGCCCCAGATGAGGACTTAAGCTTGCTTTGGGGCCAGGAAAATCTCCAAAGAAATAATTCATCAAGGATGGAATGATGAGCAAGGGATTCTGCGCAGAGAGCAGTATATTCCCTATATCTGGCATTTTTGGAGAATTTTCGGACCATTTTTTTCTGATGGTCTTAGAGCGAACGGCAGCCCACGGACCAACTTCAGGAGGCAGGATGTTTTGTTCCGCTTGCATTCTCTCTATAGTTGACGTAATTGCCTACACTTAAAAATCAGCAGATGGGGTGCACCGGACTGACTCGCTCGGTAGAGCGGTACTCTTGATCTGAGTGTCCTGAGTTCAAGCCCCATGTTGGACACAGAGCTTTATTTAAAAAAAAAATCCAACCAAAAAATCGGCAGATGGCATTTCTCACTTGTCCTGAAAATACCAGAGAGTTGGCAATAGGTAAGTCCTGCATCCCTTCTTTGAGATGCTAGTCCATGATCGTTCCTCCCCACTCCCTTCACTCATTTACATTACCAGCCTGGCTGCTGTAGGAGTTCATGTTTTCAATCCTGGTGCATAATGTAAAGTGTGTGCATTTAGGAATGACTGAGGAGAGGCAAGAAAGGGGAGCAGAGGGCAGGTCATGAAAGCTTTTGCTTAATAGGCATAATGTGTTTGTCCTTTATGGGGTGCTCCAGAGCCTACAGAGGTAGATTGGAGACTGGGAAACTGTTTTTGGGGGTGGAGTGGGGACTTTTTTTTTTTTTTTTAAAGTAGGCTTCATGCCCAGTGTAGAGCCCAATGCAGGCTTGAAGTCATGACCTGAAATCAAGAGTCAGATGCTTAGAGCCTCTCTAAGGCTTAGAGATGCTAAGGCTTCTAAGACGCTTAGAGCCTCTCTCCCTGGGTGGGGGTAGAGGAGGAACTTAAAAAAACAAAACAAAACAGTTTTATTGAGGTATAATTGATATGGCATAAACTGGACATATTTAATATATACAGTTGATGAATTTGGACATGTATATACCTGTGAAACCATCACAATATCAAGGTAAAAATACCCATCACCTCCAAATGTTTCGCTGTGTTCTTGTGTGTGTGTGTGTGTGTGTGTGTGTGTATGTGAAGAACACATGAGATCCACCCTCTTAAAAACCTAAAATAGGGGCGCCTGGGTGGCTTAGTCGGTTGAGCGTCGGACTTTCGCTTAGGTCATGATCTTGCGGTTCGTGGGTTTGAGCCCCGCGTCAGGCTCTGTGCTGACTGCCAGCTCAGAGCCTGGAGCCTGCTTCAGTCTGTGACTCCTTCCCTCTCTGGCCCTCCCCTGCTCACGCTGTGTCTCTCTCTCTCTCTCTCCTAGAAATAAATAAAACATTTAAAAAAAAAAAAAAACCTAAAATAGGGGCGCCTGGGTGGTTCAGTCTGTTGAGCGACCCACTTCGGCTCAGAATCTCACATTTCGTAGGTTCAATCCCCGCGTCGGGCTCTGTGCTAACAGCTAGCTCAGAGCCTGGAGCCTACTTCCGATTCTGTATCTCCCTCTCTCTCTGACCCTCCCCTGCTCATGCTGTCTCTCTCTCTCAGAAATAAATAAAACAAGGGGTGCCTGGGTGGCTTAGTCGGTTAAGCGTCCGACTTTCACTTAGGTCATGATCTCACGGTTCGTGGGTTCGAGCCCCGCATCGGGCTCTGTGCTGACTGCCAGCTCAGAGCCTGGAGCCTGTTTCAGAGTCTGTCTCCCTCTCTCTCTGACCCTCCCCTGCTCACGCTGTCTCTCTCTCTCTCCTAGAAATAAATAAAACATTAAAAAAAAAAAAAAGAAATAAATAAAACATAAAAAAAAAACCCTAAAATAATGCCCCCTTTATTTTTTAAAGTAAACTAATCCCAACGTGGGGCTCAAATTCATGTCCCCAAGAGGAAGAGTCGCATGTACTACCATGAGCCAGCCAGGCATCCCTCTTAATGACTTTTTAAGCGGATAATATAGTATGTTGACTGTAGAGAATTGTTTTATAAGTAGAATCAATTGGGCTTCAGTATACAAATAACTGAAGTTTAGGTGATATTCATCTATTTGCTGAGGAGCTATAGAAGCAGGTATTTGAGGGGTGATGACAATTTTATTATATGTGCTACCTAAGCAAGCACACGGGAGTGATGATAACCATTTTAGTTTATTAGGTATGAGGTGCTTGTAGTCCCCAAGTGGAGGTGTCCAGTGGGGCCATTGAATTAGTGGAGTGGAGCTCAGGAGAAATGACTATGCTCAAAACTGAATTTAGTAATTAGAGCCCCTCTTTCAACAATGGTGGATTAAACAGATACCCGATCCCTGAGCTGAAGACAACTAAAAATTTTGGATGAAATTCTTTAAAAACTCAAAACACTAATAAAACAGTGAAGAAATATTGGTGTTGAGGGCATGAAAGACAGGAAATCTAAGAGGTAAGACAATGATAAGACTGATTTTGTCCTGCAGTCATTTGCTGATTGGAACTGCTAACGGAAAATGGGTTGTGTGGGGGCAAGTGAGACAAAAATTGTAGTCCAAACGTCCCTGATGGTGAGAAACCTGGCAAACCACCTTCCTATTTTGGGTAAAAATCCTGAAAGCTGCAGTCCTTGGGGGAAATCTTGGACTTGGGTAAACCAGAAGTAGATAGAAAATGCACACCCATGATATTAAAAAAACAAAATTAAGAATTAATCAATGCGTTTAACAGACTTGACTGAGAGGCAAGTAATGCATTGGAAGAAAGAACAGAGAAACCACCCACAATGAAGCACAGATTAAACAGAAATGAGAAACATAAAAGAGTGTTAGAAAGAAAGGATACTGTGAAAAAATCTGACACATCTTTATTTGGAGCCCCGGAAGCAGGGAAAAAACAGGGTAGAAGCAATATTTGAAGAAACTATGGTGGAGAAACTTAAAATATAGATGGAATACACTGAGCCACAGATTCAAGAAGTTCAACAGACCTCAAGTAAGATTAAAAACACCCATATTGGGACACATCAGGGTGAAATAGTGGGAAATTAAATGAAAGGCTAAATGTTTAAAATAGGAAAGGGTGACTGGGAGGCTCAGTGGGTTAAGCATCCAGCTCTTGGTTTCAGCTCAGGTCATGATCTCTCAGTTTGTAAATTCAAGTCCCACATCAGACTCTACACCAGCAACCTGCTTGGTCTTTCTCCCTCTCTGCCTTTCCCTTGCTCATCTGCTCTGTTTCTCTCTCTTCAAATAAATAAATAAATAAATAAATAAATAAATAAACTTAAAATTTTTTTAAATAAAATAGGAAAAAAGAAGACTGATTACCTTGAAAAGAGCAACCATTAGGTCGGCAATTTCTTCCCCCACAGCAAAAATGGAAGCCAAAGATAGTAAAATAATATCGTAAATGTGCTGAAAGAAAATAATCTCCAAGCTAGAGTTCCCTATGCGGAGAACACGTCCTTCAGAAACAGAGGTGAAAGGGGTACCTGGCTGGCTCAGTCTGTGGGGCCATGGGACGCTTGATCAGGTGTTGGGGGTAGGTGTCCTGAATTTGAGACCCAGGTGGGGGGTAGAGCTTACTTAAAAAAATAAAGAAGAAACATATACAGAAATTAAATTCTGTACACATGTATACTTACCAACAGAAACAGATACGTCTGGCCACACAGATCTTGCACAGAAACGTTCGTAGCAGCTTTATTCATAATGGCTCCAAAGTGGAAACCACCAAAACGTGTTCCTGTGGGGAGCCAGGTGGAGGACGGCTCCGCCGAGAAGGGGTGTACTTGCTCAGCGGAACGCTACTCATAAATAAAAATAAAACACTGCTGATAAACGCAAAAACGTGGAGGATCTTGAAACGTGTCAAGCAAGAGCAACTAGTTTAGAAGAAAAATAACTACATCAGTACGAGTCCGTGGATATGAAGTTCAAGGACAGACAAGCCTAATCCACGCTCACAGGAACAGGAAACCGCGATTCTCTCCAGCGGCGGGATAACGGGGTGAGAGAACTTTCTGAGGCGATAAAAATGTTCTTTATCTTAACCTGGGGGACGGTTGCGTGGACGGAATACATTACTCAAAACTAACCTAGAGGAAAGCTTGAAATCTGTGCATTTAGCCGCCGCAAACTATGCATCAGTAAAGTAACAGAACTGCACAACGGCACGTAACGCTGCGCGGAGTGATGGTGGTAAATGTAATTACACGATCCCTGCACTTTTAACGAGGAAGGTAAAAAGTACTGCGTAAAACCAGACCTTGCTAAATCAAGGCTGTGTGTTGTAATTTTTAGAGTAACCGCCAAGAGTGCGTAAGTTCCAACCGGCGCAGGCGGGGAGGAAGCCGGCGGCGACCAGGGCAAGAGAAGCCGCAACTCGCGGAGCGACGCGGGCAGCGCAGGGCGCGGCGGCCGCGGGGACTGCGCCTGCGCGGGGGCGCGCGGGCCGCGGCCGGAGTGAGGGCGGGGCTCCTCCCTTCGCTTCCCCCGCCCGCCTTTCCTGAGCCCTCTTTCCGAGGCTGCCTCGGTTTCACTTCGAGTCCCTCTGGTTCCGTCAGTACATCCCCTCTTCTCAAATCCGCTTCCCCCCGTAAGTTACCAGCCTTCGGTGGACTCCACCCGGGCGTGGTGTGGCCCGAAGTCCTTCCTTTACCGTTTCACTTGCTGATGGCACAAACGGGTTCTAACGGCTGCACTTTGAGGAAGGAAAACGTAACAAAAGGGCAAGTATAATACAGGTACTGAAGAAGTTTGAACTACGAATAGTGTGCGGGAGAAAAGAAAAGGAGAAAACCACCTGTAGCAGAGGATGGTTTCGATCCATCGACCTCTGGGTTATGGGCCCAGCACGCTTCCGCTGCGCCACTCTGCTACGCCCGGGCGCTTTCCTTCTGGAACTCTATAGAAAGGTTTCTCCTTGTTTCTTCACACCGCGCCACCTACCGTCTAGTTACAAAAGTAGGCGCTACTGGCAAGTCTGTTCTTATTGGCTAATTTCTGACGCAGCAGGCGTTTTTTATTGGTCTGTAGGCCGGTCGGCCAAAGTAAACCAATAGGCATGAGCGGCGGGGTGCGGCGCGGGCCAATCGGCGCGGAATTTGTTGGGACGCGCCGGCCGGCCGCGTCTCAGGTCGTCCGCTTCTCCGCGGAGAGGGGCGGTTGGCGTGGACTCCATTGTTCGGGCTCGAGGGCGCCATGAGGTGAGGGTTTGGGGGTGCTCTGCGAAAGCTCAGGGTGCTGCCCCGGAAAATTTGGGAGGGTGGGCCGGGGCGCCCGACGGGACCGCGCGTCCGGGGGTGCCTGAAGCCCGAGAGCGCCCGGCCGTGGCGGTGGCGGTGGTCGGGGGCCGCGGAGGCGTGGGACCCGGCGCGCCACGTCCGGGGAGTGGAGGGTGTGTGGGTAAAGGTTCCGCTGCGTCGGCGGTAAAGGGGCAGCCGCCTTAGTCCCTGGAATTCCGGGGGCCGTGTCCCGGGGATTATAGGGTGTTTCTCGCAGGGACCCGCTGTTGGAGCCCGGTGTTGTTCGCTGTGGGTTGGGATTGAGTCGTCCAGTGAGGAGGTGAGGTGGGGTGAGGCCGGGCGCTCGGAGCCAGAGGCGCAAGCGGGAGTTCGAGCGGCCTCCTTCGGTGGGGTCACCAGTGAAATCTCTGCCCTTGCAGGGGTGACCGAGGCCGTGGCCGTGGCGGGCGCTTCGGTTCCAGAGGAGGCCCCGGAGGAGGGTGAGTGCCGGTTCCTAGCACCCCCGCACGGCCTGGCCCGCGCTTCCGTCCTCGCGGCTGCAGGCTGGAGGGCACTGGGTTTCCCCGCTTTCTGAGGTTCGGCTCTCAGGCACCCCGATGAGGGAGTGCGGCCCCGCTTGACTTCATGTGATGTATGATCTGGATTGTTGTTCTTATTTTAGGTTCAGGCCCTTTGTGCCGCATATTCCATTTGATTTCTATTTGGTGAGTACCTTGGCTCCTGTTCACCGTAGACAGGGCCGTGGAGTGTGGCCACTATTCACTTGTTCCTGAACCCAGCATCTGGTGGTGAAGTCAAGTAGTGGTTGGATAAGAGAAAGTGAATGGAGCGGCGTGTTGCATTCCTTACAAGACAGCGAGAGCTCCGCGAGAGTTCCCTGGCTACTGTTGACAATAACAGGATTGTAGTCTTTGTTGTAAATAAAGATCTCTGGTTCTATCTGCTCTTGGAAAAGCAGTGAGAGCTGAGATTATGGCCAGTCCGTGTAGCGGGTATCCTTGTGTGGAATATCTCATGGAGTAAAAAGAAGTGTAGAATTTTCTATTTTCAGTTTTTTTTCTGTTGTGGCAACAGAGAAAACGATCTCCCCTATGTATTGTTTTTGGTAAATGTTATGTGGTTTCTTAATGCTTTAGTGTGAAATGGCCTTTCCCCGGGTCAAGCCGGCACCGGATGAAACTTCCTTCAGCGAGGCCTTGCTGAAGAGGAATCAGGACCTTGCTCCTAATTCTGCTGAACAGGTATATTCTTTTGGCTTTCCTCCTCAGGTTTCTCTAAGAAAGCCAGAGAAGTGAATAACTGCTGGTGTTAACAGAGCCGAAACTTTACAGAGGGTTTAATTGTTCGCCGCATTTCTCATTGTGGGTAGAGGGAGAGTGCCAGGTGGATTATATAAACAGATTACAATATGCTTTCATATTTTCATTGGGGACTCTGTCTTTGGGTCAAAAAGTTATTTTCCTGGCATAGTCAAGGCCAGAAGGGTCAGAGTGTTTTCAGAGCCCTCTGTAGGTATTAATTCAGCTTGTATGTAGAAGGGATTAGGGGAAAATACTCAAACTCTGAAAAATTGCCTATAATTTTTCACTTTAGGGCATTTTTATTTCCTGATGTTTTTTAGGCCTCCATCCTTTCCTTGGTGACGAAAATAAATAATGTGATTGACAATTTGATTGTGGCTCCAGGGACATTTGAAGTGGTGAGTTTTTAGTGATTTAGTCATAGAAGAGGGCAGCCTTGGTTGTGTGGAAGTTTTCTTGATTCCTGTCTCTTAATTCTTCAGTTGTTTCTTCTGCAAAGCCAGGTCTAAAATGGAAAGGAGGGGCGCCTGGGTGGCTCAGTTGGTTAAGTGTCCGACTTCGGCTCAGGTCATGATCTCACGGTCTAAGCCCCACATCGCGCTCTGTGCTGACAGCTCAGAGCCTGGAGCCTGCTTCACATTCTGTATCTCCCTCTCTCTCTGACCCTCCCCTGCTCACACGGTCTCTCTCTCTCTCTCTCTCTCTCTCTCTCTCTCTCTCTCTCTCAAATAAATAAAACATTAAAAAAAAAATGTTTACTAAAAAAGTAAATAAAATGGAAAGGATAGCGGAATTCCTCTGTAGTGGTGACCTTGGGGATAAAACTTGCACTGTGCTATCAGCTACCCATAATGTATCAGGCTTTTCATGTGGTGGTTTTGGGATCTCATTTGACCTCTGCTACTTCTAAATCTGGGTAATAATTGTGTTGTCATTGATTTCTGAGAGGAATTAGACCATCTTTCACTTCTGCATCCCCCCCTCTTCCAACAGCAAATTGAAGAAGTCCGACAGGTGGGATCATATAAAAAGGGAACAATGACGACAGGACACAACGTGGCTGACCTGGTGGTAATCCTAAAGATTCTGCCAACGTGTGAGTGCACCTCTTTCTGGCATTTGAGGTATAGGGATCTTTAAAGCCCAGATCTCTTGCAAGAAAGGTTGTTTGGGAAACAAATGGAGAATTAATTTATTTAATGTGTGTTGGGGTGATACGGGACAAAGTCTGGATTGTGTGTCTGAAAGAATGTATGTCTGAAGGGCAGTATTTCTCAACTAGGGGTGGTTTTGTCCCCCATGGGACATTTGGAAGTGTCTGGAGACATCTGGGGCTACTGGCATCAAAGGAGTCGGGGTCGGGGACGCTGCTGACCCTGCAGTGCACAGGGTGCGCCGTGCTGCCCAGCCCCCAACAGAGTCATCCAACCTCAGATGGCATTAGTGCCACTGACGGGAAAGTCCACTCTGAAAGGATGTGGGCATAGGAAGTGTCCTATTCCCTGAGACTTCCTGTTTCTCTGTTCAAGTGTTAGCTTCCCTTGTAAAAGAGTTTATTCTGTTGCTTGCTGTTGCTCCAGCCTTACACATGGGGCAGAAATCAGAGTGTGGGATGGCATAGAGATGTACAGAAAGTCTATGTAAATAATTACAGTGTTCATGGTCTCCTTTTTTCTCAATCTAGTGGAAGCTGTTGCTGCCCTGGGGAACAAAGTTGTGGAAAGCCTTAGAGCACAAGATCCTTCTGAAGGTTTGCGTTTGTTGCTGGTCATGTATTTAGTGGTCATCAGGAGCCGGGTCTATAATTAACAAGTACATTAAAAAAAATTTTTTTATAATGTTTATTCATTTTTGAAGGAGAGAGAGAGACATTGCGAGCAGGGGAGGAACAGAGAGAGGGGGAGACAGAATCCGAAGCAGGCTCCAGGCTCTGTGCTTGGAGCACAGAGCCTGATGTGGGTCTCAGACTCACAAGCTGTGATATCACGACCTGAGCTGAAGCCAGACACCCAACTGGCTGAGCCACCCAGGTGCCCACAAGTACATTTTTAACAAAGGTCAGGCTAGAAGGGAGAATGAATGCAGTTTTTTTGTTGTTGATTTTTTGAGGGGTGGGACAGAGAGAAAGGGAGCCACAGGATCCAAAGCAAGCTCTGCACTGACAGCAGAGAACTTGAACTCCTGAACGGCAAGATCTTTACCTCAGCTAAAGCTGGTGCTCGACTGACTGAGCCACCCATTCTGAGCCAGGCGCCTCTTGAATGCAGAGTTTTAAGTTGGGGAAGTTTTTGCAGTGATTTCCAATTTCTAGTGTTCAAAATCCAGTTGATCTCTGTTAACTTTAATTTTTTTCTAAAGTTTATATACTTATTTAAGTAATCTCTGCACCCAGTGTGGGGGTCAGACTCATGCCCCAGAGATCAAGAGTCTCATGCTCTTCCAACTGAGTCAGCCAGGTGCCCCATCTCTTACTTTTAAAACTATTTTGAATCCTCATTCTGGACCCCTGCTGTTTTTAGAAACCTGTCTGTTCTCCTACTTCAACTCTGTTTTTACCTCTGGTCATCTAAGGGAGATGGGGGGTTACAGCTTTTGATTTTCTTTCAGTTTTGACCATGCTGACCAATGAAACTGGCTTTGAGATTAGTTCCTCTGATGCTACAGTGAAGATTCTCATTACAACAGTGCCACCAAATCTCCGAAAACTGGACCCAGAACTCCATTGTTAGTCCTTTTTTTCTATTTCTGGGATATTGGGGGGTGGGGGAAATTCAAAATCCGGTATAAGGTTACTGTTGAGTTTTTACCTTGTTGATATTCCACATAAAACCTTCCGGACCTAAGGTGACCCCCAAACTTCGCTATCTCCCTCTGTAATTTAGAGAGAGTTTTCCTAGCTTGCTAGTGAAATTGTCAGACTGGATGGCCAAGAAAGCAACTGGATTGGAGGACAATATTTGTGGAGCGGATAGGCTCTTGGAGAAAGTTGTGGACCTTGCACGCTTACAGATTTGGTATAGGGGAGGAATAGTGATTTCTGGACATGATCAGAGGAACATGGGGTGTTAAGAAATTACAAGGAGGCTGAATTGCTTGCTTAGTAACAGGAGTGTTTCACCGTGGCCTGTTCTGCTGGTCTTGTAGTGGATATCAAGGTGTTGCAGAGTGCCTTAGCAGCCATCAGACACGCCCGCTGGTTTGAAGAAAATGCTTCTCAGTCCACGTGAGTTCCTCGCTATTTGAGTTTAAATAATTTAATTATTCTAATTACACGGAGTAGCAGGATACCCCCATACTTCCTCTCTTAGAAGTTTTTTGGCTATGTTTTGTCAGGACCTTTTTTTTTTTTTTTTTTTTTAAATACACCTTAGGTAAGCAAGTTAATATTTTTTCATTTAATGTTCATTAGTTTTTGGGAGAACGTGCGAGTGAGTGGGGGAGAGGCAGAGAGAGAGGGAGACACAGAATTTGAAGCAGGCTCTAGGCTCTGAGCTGTCAGCAAAGAGCATGATGTGGGGTGTGAACCCATGAACTGTGAACAGATCATGACCTGAGCTGAAGTTGGACACTTTACCGAATGAGCCACCCAGGTGCCCCTAAGTAAGCAAATTTAGATTGAGAGAAACAGAATGTCTGGTTTTGGAAATAACAACAGCTCTGTACCTCAGCGATAGAAGTACATGATGTTACTACTTTTAATCTCTGGGTTCCTCTTACTGTCAGAGTTAAAGTTCTCATCAGACTGCTGAAGGACCTGAGAATTCGTTTTCCTGGCTTTGAGCCCCTCACTCCCTGGATCCTTGACTTACTGGTAAGTACAGAAGAGCAACTGAAGTCCCTTACCATCCCTATTTAACAGTAGTTACTCTGAAACCTACCAGGATCTGAAATTTGGTGAAGCTGAAAATAAATCTCATGGTGGACAAGCAATCCAGTAAATACATGGTGTTTATTACTTCATTGGGTTTTTGGAGTATTCAGTTGAATGAGTGATTATTGCTCATATTCCTTTCTGTTACTGATGTCATGTCAGTACTGGGATCAACGGGAAGAAATCAGTGGACGAGCAGCCAGTTCAGGATTGCTTCTTGAATATGAACATTTTAGTTAGACCTTAATTTAGTAACCAGTTTTCTGTGTGATGGTTTGAGGTTTCAGTTTGGCCAGAATTGCCAAGTTTATGGCACACCTACCAGGTTGGTTATTTTCCAGGGGCACTATGCTGTGATGAACAATCCTACCAGACAGCCTTTGGCCCTAAACGTGGCATACAGGTATAGCACGTTTCTTTGGGGTTTGGGCTGGATGTAAGCCGTGTTTTGTGTTTTTTAATGATCCTGTGTGCTTCAGGCGTTGCTTACAGATCCTGGCCGCAGGACTGTTCCTTCCAGGGTCAGTGGGGATCACAGACCCCTGTGAGAGTGGCAACTTCAGGGTACACACAGTCATGACTCTGGAACAGCAGGTATGGGACACCCTACTCTTGCATAGTCCAGGTCCGAAGGCAAAGGGAATGTGGTCTTTAGGAGTCAGGGATTTGGGAGTTCTCACAAACTTCGGTCTTGAAATTAAAGTTGTCTTCATCTGTTTTCGTGAGGATATTCATGAAAGAATATTTTCAGATAAGTTACTGTGACTCAGCTTTCTAGTTTATCCTCACTTTGCTCTCCAGGACATGGTGTGCTACACAGCTCAGACTCTGGTCCGAATCCTCTCACATGGTGGTTTTCGGAAGATTCTTGGCCAGGAGGGGGACGCCAGCTGTGAGTGGTCACTGTGGGTCAGGGGATCTTTATGGTACTCTGCTCTCCAAGGCTCTGTACTACTCAGATGTCTTACTATTTCCTCTGTGTAGATTATGACTTGTATGCTGGGTTACTTGCCTGAAGTCCTGTTTTCTGTTTTAGATCTTGCTTCTGAAATCTCTACCTGGGATGGAGTGATAGTGACACCTTCAGAAAAGGCTTATGAGAAGCCACCAGAGAAGAAGGAAGGAGAAGAGGAGGAGGAGAATACAGAAGAACCACCTCAAGGAGAGGAAGAGGAAAGCATGGAGACTCAGGAGTGACCTTCCTTTCTATTTTCACCCCCTTGTCCAAGGTGAAGACTGGAGCCTAAGCTAACTGCTCCTGGGATTTACGTGGTGGCATTTCTGAGGGAAAGGGGAGACCGGAAGGAAAGGAAACTAGAAAAGTGTCATTCCACTGGGTTCCGGTTAGCTTAATAGCCTGAAGTCTCCCATTTATGACCTATGCCACCATCTGCAGTGACGCAGGAGACCAGCTGTTCTTCCTAAGACTTCAGAGTCCCTAGGTCCTGGAAGCCTCTCCAACAGTACATTGTTGAAATATTGTGAACTGTTAGTGTCTGGATTTTTTTTTTCCCCTAAGAAAAATGATTAAAGTACTTTCTCTGAGGGTTCTTGGTCTTGTTTTTCTTGGCATCTGGGAACCTTCTTTGCTTTCTGTACTTTTCAATGAAAGTGAGTCTTTTCATTGTAAGCACTAGATCACAGTTTGAAGCTGTATCTGAATTAAAGTTTCTACAAAGACTCTTGGAACCTTTCCATATACCAAAGTAAACTAGAACACTGTTTATGCATTTATTGAATCAAATGGCTCTAGCAATACTGCTACTATATTCAAGCCCAGTGCAATCAACAGAAGAGGGTTGACAGTCATTACGAGACTTCGCCTACCCTCTTGAAATCCTCAGTGTAAACAAAGGAAAACAGGTCACAGGTAGAGGACATGCAACAGAGGAAGCCCCTCATTAACTCGGCTTGAAGGTACAGGAGCTGGGCCTGGAGTATGTAGGTTTAAGAAAAAAAGTAGAGTCCAGCCCATTCTTGGAAGCAAGAGTCATAATAAATCCTTTGGGATCAAGAGTCCTGCTGTACACCGGTTTCTTTGGGCCCCCATATAAATGGGTGAGACTTAAGTGCTTCAGACAAAAACAACTGGGCTGCCTGTTTGATGTCCCAAGGTCTACAGGGCGTCCTGGAGGAAACCAGGCAGCTGGGGAATAGTACTTGTGCTATTACGGGGCCAGCCATGCGCTCCATCTTCTGCCCGGTTACTTGCTTGGGGAACCAGGAGGGTAAACTCCTGAATCCAGCATTGCTCTCCTGCGGGCCGTCTCCTTGGCAACACTGTGGTTTAGTCGCCTCAGCCGTTCCTACAAGGCAGGATTGGGAATTATAAATGCTCCATGAAAGACTTTAGAACACGCTGTCGGGGCGCTTGGATGGCTCAGTCGGGTAAGTGCCCGACTTCAGCTCAGGTCTCATCTCCTGGTTCGTGGGTTTGAGCCCCCGTGCCGGCAGCTAGCTCAGAGCCTGGAGCTGCTTCGGATTCTGTATCTCTCTGACCCTCCCCTGCTCATGCTGCCTCTCTCAGAAATAAATAAAACGTTAAAAAGAAAAAAAAAAAAAACCCAAACACCGTGTCAGCTACCTGCGGAAAATACCGCGGGGCTTGCTCCGTCTTGATGTAAGTCCGCTGCAGTATGGAAGAACATAAAAGAGGGCAGCTGGCTAGGAGTACGGAGAATGAGGAGATCTATTATGGCTGACACTGGTTGACAACTCTCTTTCCCCACGACTAAAATTAGTGACTCATAGTCACCCCTTGAAAAGGAGAATGCCCTGAGCACTTCTAAAGGATCCCTGTTAGCAGGGAACTCCTTTACCTGCGCATTCTGCAGAATGTTGTTGACCAAGACAACTCGTCGCCGGGCATTAAGCAGCTTCTTGACATAGGGGTCGAGATCCAGGGCCACTTTCTGATCCTCATTGATTCGGCACAGCTCTGGGGGATGGAAGTAAGCTACAAACTAACACCTAATGGCTCCTCGTTCTTGGGGAAGGCAGGCTGGTAAGTGGGATGAAGACGCGCCTGCACCCACATGGGCCGATCACTAGAAACTTAGGGAGGCAGGAGTCATTGGCGCCCTGATGTCCTGGAAGCACACGACACAAACCCACCCAGAGGTGGGCTAGACACGAGCTGCAGGATCGCGGGAACGCAGGGATGCTTACCAGTAGCCAGGTTGTCAATTTGCTCCCGAAGCTCTACCTGGCTCTCTCTGCAAAGAGTTATGTGGCCTTCGCAGTCACTTAAACAGGACTCGAAAAGCCGATTCCCCCAAGAGGTTCTCAAGCTCTGAGCGAAGCCACTTCGGCCCGCTGCCTCCCCCGCCCCGCCCCTTCCGGGCCTGGCCCCGCCCCTTCCTGGCACCTCCCCCGCCCCCCCAGCCAAACCGAGAGGAGGCCCCGCCCCACCCTTCCCTCTCGGACCTGACGGCGTGGACGTGAGAGTCCAGCTGCTGCACAGCAGGTCGCAGGAACTCGAGGAGCCCCTCGGCGAAGAGGTCGCGGCCTGCGGGACCCGCCACTGGGGTCCCTGCCCCGGACACAGCGGCAGAACCAGCCCCAGCCATCACGAGCAGCCCTTCCGCCGAGGACGTGCCGCGCGGGCCGCCGGGAACTGGAGCCGAGCTGAAGCGCGCCGCCAGGGGGCGCCCGGCAGAGCTGTGGGCGGGACCCAGCCCGGGAGCTTCTGGGAAACCGAGTCTCCTCCACTGCTAGCGGTTAGGCCGAGCGGCAGGTCCTTGGAGGCCTCAGGGGGGTGCTGTTGCGGAGTGGGTCTCCAGACTTCGGGGGGCTGGGAGGAGCCATTTTGGGGGCGCAAAGGTGGAAAGTAAATGCTCATCTTCTCAGTTGTGCATAGCCCTTTCCTGTTAACTTGGTGAGAAAACCAGATTGTATTCCTAGTATAGGTTCATATTTTTAAATTTGAGTTTTTTTTTTTAAGGGCACTGCAGTATGTATAAAACTGTAGGAATGGGGCGCCTGCCTGGCTCTATCGGGCTTCGTGCTGACAGCATGGAGCCTGCTTGGGATCCTCTCTCTCTGCCCCTTCCCTGCTCACTCTCTTAAATAAACATTTAAAAAAAACCCAAAACTTCATAGAACATTATCAAATCTTAAAGAGAATAAAGCCACCCCCCCCTTTTAAAAGTTATTTATTTATTTTGAGAATGAATCCCAAGCAGGCCCCACAGTGTCAGCAAAGAGCTTGACCTGGGATTGAACTCAACAGTGAGGTTATGACCATAGTCGAAATCAAGAGTCCCATGCTTAACCAACTGAACCACCCTGCTGCCTGGGAAAGGGAATGAAGTTGTGGCGCATCTATCAGAGGGTAGATGAGCCTCAGAGACATGACGCTGGGAAAATTAAGCCAGAAATGAGGCCGCATACTCTCAGGTTATTACAGAAAGTCCCCAGAGCAGTCCAATTCATGGACATAAAATGTGGTTTCTTCTCTATCAACACAGTGTTGCAGGAGCCAGAAGGAAAGGTGAATGAGGAGTTACCGATTCATGGGTACAGTCTCGGTACGGGATAATAAAAAAGTTCTAAAGAAGAGTAATGATGATGACACATTAGTGTGAACTTATTTAATGCCACTGACATGTACACTTAAAAATGGTGAAAGTGAGGGCTTCTGGGTGCCTCTGTGTGTCTTGACTTCAGCTTAGGTCACGATTTCATGGTTCGTGAGACCGAACTCCAACTCGGGCTCTGCGTGGACAGTGCAGAGCCTACTTGGGATTCTTGCCTTTCTCTCTCTCTCTCCCCCTTCCCCACTCGCTCTCTCAAAAAACCATGGTGAAAGTCGTAAATTTTATGTGTATTTTGCCACAGTAAAGCAAAATTTAAAATCTACACGTGTTTTCATATGAAGAAAAAGAATTTTAATGTTTATTTTTGGCAGAGAGGCAGAGTGCGAGCAGGGGAGGAGCGGAGAGAGAGGGAGACACAGAGTCTGAGCAGGCTCCAGGCTCTGGGGTGTCAGCACAGAGCCCGACGTGGGGCTCAAGCTCACAAATTATGAGAGCATGACCTGAGCTGAAGTCGGACACTTGACACCGACTGAGCCACCCGGGCACCTGTATTTTTTTTCTTCCCTCAAAAAGTTTTCTTAGTTTTGTTGTGTTTTTCATGGCTTTCCAGAAAGTTTAAATGTCTTGTTGAATTCTCAACTTGAGGCCCAGTCTCTTAAGCTCGCGGTCCTGTGGGCTGCAGGTGAGGTGAGTGCCGAAGTGCTCTTGGACAGCAAAGGAGTCCCCAGACATGAAGGGCACCAGAATGTTCAGCCTTGGGCTTCCTCCTCAGGAACCAGAGAGAAGGTGTTTAAGTCGCTGCGGGAGAGTGGTGGTCCGCAGCTGGAAACCTGAGGCCCCAAGTGTGATCCCTTGAACACTTTTTGTTGTTTGTTTATTGTCTTTGTTTCCCTGTATCTTTCCCTCTAGTGATTAGAGCTGAACGTCTCACGAGAGGCACTGACTCACGGGAGGAACTAGGGTACTCGCCGCCGGCCTCCCTCGCAGGCCTTGCGAGGAGGAAAGCCCGGAGGGAGGAGGAGGTGAGGAAAGAGGGCCGAGCCCTTGAGGCCTGCCCTGGAGAGGGAGAGACAGAGAGAACAGGGGCTGGCCAGGGCTGGGCAGGGAGGTTGGTGGCTCAGTTTCTATGCAAGAAGCCCCCATGTTAGGCCGCAGTCCCTTCAGCTACATTTTTGAAGTAGGGTTGTGAAATTTGGAAAACAGAAGGATGAAAAAGCCCTGCCTGGGACACTAAGTAAATTTGAATTTCAGATAAAAAACAAACAATTTTTGAGTGCAGTTATTTTATCTGGTAATCCTACTTCAAAGGCTGGTTCTCGGAGAAAAGTCACTCAGTGTTTTGTTTTTATGCTTTCCTCGCCTCCAGTTAGCACGTCTGTCCCCTGCGGGCTCCGCCACAGCCTCCTGCTGATCTTGCCTGGAGTCTCACTCCTGCAGCTCAGTCCGCACCCTGCTCCGAGACAAATGCTGAAAGGGACTTTGTTGTATTCATTCCTTCATTTTCTTAAGAAAACAATTTTTTTTAACATTTATTCATTTTTGAGAGACAGAACATGAGTGGGAGAGGGGCAGAGAGAGAGAGAAGGAGACCCAGAATCCGAAGCAGGCTCCAGGCTCTAAGCTGTCAGCACAGAGCCTGACAGGGGACTCAAACCCACGGACAATGAGCTCATGATCTGAGTTGAAGTTGGACGCTTCACCAACTGAGCCACCCAGGCGCCCCTCATTTATTCATTTTCAAAGTGATTTCTGCCCCCAGTGTGGGGTTTGAACTCACCACCCCGAGATCAAGAGTCACAGGCTCTACTGACTGAGCCAGCCAGGCGCCCCTGAAAGGGACTTTAGAATCCATCTTTCTCCCGTTTCTTGGACATGTCCGATGAGGTTTTGGGGGTGATAGTGGGGTTTGTGGGGTCTGGAGCCAACAGTCAAGAAAGAATTCTTGAAGATGTCTTTGGTGCAAAAAGCTGATTGTATTAAAGCCCGGGGACAGGACCTGCGGGCGGGAAGAGCTGCCGTGGGGCCATGAAGAGACACACTAGTTATACACTCTGGAGCTGGGGGAGGTAAAGTCCAGGGGAAGTTTCCAGTGAGATTTTCACGTGCTAAACAAGATTCACAGGATGCTGAAGGCCTAGTTATTGTCAAGCTAAGGTTGTTTTCCTTCTGGCAGAGCATTAGCATTCAGACAGTAGGGAGTCCTGGGGAAACGTTTTACTCTGCCTGGCTCAAGTAGTGGTCAATGGGCTGCAGGTTATTAGGAAATTTAATTAAAAAAAATTTTTTTTTAATGTTTATTTGTTTTTGAGAGAGAGCCAAAGCACGAGCAATGGAGGGGTATAGAGAGAGGGAGACACAGACTCCAAAGCGGCCCTAGGCTCTGAGCAGTCAGCGCAGAGCCCAATGTGGGGCTCGAACCAATGAACTGTGAGATCATGACCTGAGCCAACCGACTGAGCCACCCAGACACCCCTAGGAAATTTAATTTTATCTGCCATTTCCTTTTGCCTTTATTTCCATACATCAAAATCTGTAAGGGAGACCAGGCAAGGGTCTGTTGAAAAGAAAACCCAGGCCCAAGATGGGGTTACTTTTGTCAGGCCAAGTCACCAAACCTGGGCTTCATACATAACCTAATTGCAGTTTCAGCTTCCCCTAGAAATGTAGTCTTAACTGGTCAGTCGGGAATTTTCTGGTCAGCCCCCAAAGGGCAATCTGTCACGAGGTCCCTCTCCCTCCTACAAAGGAGGGTGAGGTAATCTGCAGAAGACACCCTCTGGCCTCCCTCGGGGGGAGTTTCTTTGGGTCAGCCAACAGAGCGAGGAGATGGGGGAAAACTAGAAAGATAAAGACCTGCCCCTGTGGCCTTCTCACGCTCCTCAGTGCCTCGGAGGCCAGGGCCCCACCTTCAGCTTATGAGCCCTTTGTAACCAGCAGCAGTCCTGGAGTCTAACCGGAGCCTGGTCTGGCCAGGGAACCCTCTCATGGGGCATGTGGGGACGGCAGTCTTCCAGAAGCAGCAGGTGGGGAAAAAAAGCTGGAACCTTTTGGGGCCTCACGGGGGATGGATGGGACAGCCCACGGGGGGAGGAACAGGGATGCACAGGCCAGGCCCTCGCCCCAGGTCCCGGCCTCTCTGGGCCCCACTTAACTTGCTGGTCTGGGCACAGCTCTGCTGCTCGGGGCTGTGTACTGGCTGGAGCTACCTGATGAGGCCCCAGGAAGCCCGTAAGGGCCGGGGGCGGGGGGGGGGGGACAGGGCAGGTGCTACAGTTTGGGCTCCTGGAGGCTGGAGCCCTGTCCTCAGCCAGACCCTCTTGCCTGGAAGCCTGGCTCCTTCTAGAGCACGGGGCCATGGGGAGCGGCCGGCAGTGCTGCCACTGGTTTCAGACCAGGTCATGGGACAGCTGCACGGTGCCGCTGCCGGGGGTGGGGCGTGGGGACAGGGAGCCGCAGATGCCCTGCTTCCCGTCAGGTCCTCGCTCAGGCCAACAGACTACCCTCTCCTGCCGACACCCAGATGTTAGACAGCGAGGAAAGTGTCGAGATTGTGGGCTTTGCCCCAGATTCAGGCCGCTCCAGGTGCTGCACAAGCCCAGTAGCTCTGACCGTCTCCCAGCCCCCACCCTTGCTCCCTCGAACCCATCTACACCTCCCACCAGCATCGTGTAAGTCACCCCCCAATCCACGCAGCTGCCCAAGCTCTTTATTGACGAGACTATGGGCTGCCTGATCTCAGCGGTGTCTCCCAACCCACCTCGGAGGCCCACCGTACACACACGAGTGCCACACACTCTTAGGCCTCTGTACCTTTGTATTGTTCCCTGTACTTGGAATATTCTTCCCCCTTCTAACAAACCACACTTTTCTGGTGTCCACTGGGGGAGTCCTTGGTAGATGGGTGGCCGGATGAGGAGCGGGGCCGAACCTCTTTGTCCCTCTACCCTGGACGCTCACCTCTCACCTGGGACTGAGGGTCGCACAAGTGGGCACGGGGCTGAGGAGACGCTGGGAACCACGTGAGCAGCAGGGAGGCCTCGAGGGCCCGAGCCCAGCAGAGTTCCTTTTGCCCACTGCTGGGCACGAGCTCCTTCATGAGGTGGGAGGACCCTCAGAGCGGTGCCCGGTACCAGGACGCCTCAGGCGGGGCCAGGGCACTTGCACAGGGAAGGCTCACACAGATGCTGGTCTTAGCTCACTGCACCGCAAGCTGGGCCAGTGCAAGGCTTGAGTGTAGAGGACATGGGGCAGGTCCTGACAGCCACCTGTCGGGGGCAGTCAGCAGGGTCGTAGGGCTGAAAGGGCCCTGGGAGGGTGGGGGGTCCCAAACACCAGATTAACATCCTGAGGGTTTAAGTGGCAGGTCAACAAAAAAGGCTGGGGAATAATCCCAGAGAGAGAGGCCACCTAGCGTTGTGTGGAGTGGAAGGAACCCACTCACCCGAGTTCCCTTGCCTCCTTCCCTAAGGTGTCCTAGAGGCGTGGGAGGCGTCCGTTGTAACCAGTGGATGTGTTTGCAAAGGGTACCCTGCCCACCACCAACCAGCACCTCCCTCACAGAAGCCCCGAGCTGACCAGAGGCCGGGCTCCACCTGAGGGGCTACAACTGGCCTCGCACACGTAAAGTGCTTTCTAGCCGTTCCAATGGCAGGTTAGGAACACCTGTCCGAGCTAAAGACCTCCAGCCTCACAGTGCATTCTTTGACACGAAGGGACTATAGTACACTCAGGAGCCGCACCCGGTGGGATTTTGTAAGCGTGCTTCTGTTCTCTTACACCGCATGGCTTTCTCATGCTAACACTTCTGTAGGACTAATGAAACCCCTTCCTTCACAACCCAGAGGCTAAGAAGCCCAAGTCATACAGACAGGACTCAAGTCCAGGCTGTCTTGACCAAAATTTCCTTCCCAGCTTGCCACACACATAACCTCCCCCGTTTTGGGAGCCAGGCACCTCAATGGCAGCAGGTTTGGTAGGAGGTGGCTAGGTTCTTCTTTCCCAAGAGGACAGAGTCTTGCCAAAGGTCATTATGCTGGACCTTCTTCTGGGCCAGAAAGGCTAGTATATTATGTTGTCTGGTTAATCATTTTTTTCTGTAAGGCTTACTCAGAGGGCAAAATCTTTACTTTCTGCCCCAAAGTCCTATCAGTATCTGCCCCCCATCTTGATTTTAAGACAACTGTGAAGAAAAGGACTCAAGTCCACAGGGGGGCGGTGGTGGTGGTGAGAATATTGGTATAGTGGCCACAGCATTTCAAAGAGCCCAACAAAAGAAGTAGTAATCCTGGCTAGATTTGAGAACAATTTCTTGTTATGATGAACCAGAAATACAAGATCCACTGAAAACTGCAACAGTTGACAAAATATAGTTGAACTTAATTAAACCTTCAAGGGAAATTAAAGAGAGGGTCAAACAAAGCCACTGAACGGAGAAGCCCAAGACTAGTTTGGGATAAACTTAAGGATAACAGCCTTTCAGCGTGGGTACCTTCTGAGGCCTCCCAGAAGGGATCTGCCAGCATTTGATCCCCTTTTCTGAAGCACCTATCAAATCCTCTCCATTGCAGGTGTAAGCCAACCCAGAAGTATCTCTTTGGACGTGACACAAACCTGAGAGGAAAGTTTATACACCTAATTCCAGGGCAGAAAGGGCACACACCCAACCCAGCACGCTTGTTAAATGCTGTCAATGCCCACAGAAGTAACTTTAATCAAAATCAGAGGTGCTACCATGTGTAACCTACGTGGCCCTGTGGCTATGTCGGTGCTCCTAATTAACTCCAATAAAATATAAATGTGGTAGAATGCATTTTTGAGCTCCAGATTTTCTAAACACTTTTAAGAGGCTATTTAAAGATGTAGAACAGAATTGTTTTTCAGAAACCTGGGTATTAGGAACACTGATGGGCTCTTTCTAGGGCTTTTTTATGGGAACACGGAGATGAAATGTTAGAACGTCAGAGCACAGGACAGGTGAAGGGAGGCAGAGGAGGGAAGAGAGTGTTCTAGCCACAAGGCCACCACATTTATGTTCAAAGAGAAGTCAGAGTGATGGGGATGGAGGAACAACCCAAACAGAACCAAACAAAATCCAAGTCAGAGGAAAAAAGGGTTTCATACAACACAGTATCAAAAAAAGTAAAAGGAACACACTGAAATGCACAAACTGGTGGCAAGTAAGTCCACGGCCTATTGTGATAGGTCCTTCCAGCATCAATCAGGTATCTTCTCCATCTGTTATCTCAAGGCTATTTACAGATGTGGTGACTTTTGAACAAGAGTCTCTCCCAGGAGGGCGGGCAGGTTTCAATCATTGGTTTCTGGATCTGTCTGTGCCATATAGGCATCCAACTCGGCATCCAGGTGTCCTTTTGTTTTCGACATGTATGCATCCAACTGGTTGTCCAGCTGCTCCTTGGTCAGCACAGGGCGAGTGAGGGCACCTCTCCCTCGTCCACGGCCTCGGCCTCGGCCTCCAAAGCCCCCTCTTCCCCGACCTATCATACCCCGACCTGGCCCAAGGGGAAAAAAAGAAAACAAGTTACAAGTAGGTTTAATGGGTGGTATGGCAAATGCCCCTTAGAGCAGCGGGGCCTAGCTGAGCAAGGCTGAAAGGGCAGGGCAAAGAGGAGAAATCTGGAAAAACAGGAAACACATTGGGCAGAAAGCAACACATGGAAAGCACACATAATGAATCCCTGTTTACATGCTCATCTCTAAAGGCTATTTAAAGACTTTTTATTCTATCGACAAAGGTAAAATAACTGACAAAAAAATCTTAATCTCTCCTAAAACAAAGAAATTCTCTAAAGTTTGAGACCTACTAGAAATTAATTAAAATACATTATAGATAATCCCATTTAGTAAAGCAGGGAAGAAGTAACAAGGGCACAGAGAAATGGGGGTGTAAGGCTAGACAATTTTTAAGGTAAGCCTTATGGGAGAGCTTTCTGGAAAATTAGCTCATCTCTCCTCAAACTTATTAAGACTAATGAGCTGACCCCGTATCAGGAGACTGAGGAGTTATTCTGACCTAGGAACAATGTGAGAAGATGAGGAAAAATATTCAGAATAGTCCCAATCACTTCTATCTCAGATTCTAGCTGCCTCTAACAATTATGGTTATCTGAGAGGTGGTTTCAATCCACTTAACAAAACATATGCAGCTTTCTGAAAAGCTACTTTAGACTCCCCCACACTTGATGTCTCTCTCAGAAACCAGGTCAAGATAATTTAAAAACATGCTATTTCATCCTGAAACCCAAACTAATTTATACTTCACTCAGTGAGCCAAACATTAACAGGAGAGAAGAAAGTAAGCCCTTGGCTATCAAATTTCCTTTCCTGTTAGTTATTATCCTTTGGCAACTTCAAGGTCATAAATAATGGAAGACCCACCACACACTATAAAGGGACCGCAGCAGATATACACAGGGTCTACAGGAATAGATTTGTTCTCACCCTAGAAAGGTGTTGTTGAGAGTTTTCCACTAAACTCTAAATCAGAAAACTCCCACGGGGTTTGGATTAACAACAGCAACACCATTAAATGCTTTTCCAATCTGGGTCATGAGGTCACAATTCAAGTATCACTAAGTCTCAAAGGTAAGATTATCAACAAGAGTCAGTTAACTGACATGGTACCTTCTTGGTTTCTACCTTGATCAAAAAAAGGCATCTCGATTTCCCATAGACACAAACTTTACCTTGAATTTACTTGGCTTCAACATCAATACTCAGCTCCAATCTCACCATCCTTTTTAACGCTTTCATTTTTGTACATCTCCCTCTTCTTTATTCTTAGTCTCAAAGTGGGGTTTTGAGCTATGGGATGGGGTGTGTGGTGGCGGGGCAAGGACAGAGAAGGGTAAAACCTCAAACTGACCACCTTGTCATTTTTTTTAACAATACAATTTAAATTTGCAAGAACCTGGAAAAAGACTGCATATGATCTGGCTCGGACATGTACCTGACTGGTTCTTAGACAACCCATGACAGACTTTGGCACTACCAGCATGTGAATTTAGAAAATAAGCCAGTTTCAAAAAAACAAAACAAGACAAACAAATAAGCCTGCCTATGACTTGAAGCTGTGCAGAAAAGTGCCTCTGAGTTTTGAAGGGAGAGAAGTAAGGGGAAGCTATTCTCTGAAGTTGGTAGCTGACTAACCTCTACCACCGATTCCGCCACGACCCATAGCTCCACGCCCTAGGCCCCCTCTCCCAGGACCTCCACGACCTCGAACACCACCTCTTCTTAAGCCCATTCGGGGAGCTACGGCTCGTCCACCTCGGAGCAGGTTTTGACCTTGGAGAGGAGGCATACAATGTATATGCAGGTAAATCCAAGAGAGACAAAGTAGACTCTAACCAAAGGAAGGCGGTGAGGGTTAAATGAGAGTTAATTCAGTTAATTTTTAGGTTGGGGGGAGGGGCAAGCTGCACACCAAGTGTGAACAGATCAAGCTGCTCTTTATTCAATCAATTCAAAGTCTGACCACAAACCCATTTTTGGAAGAAGCTGGGAGTTAAGTTAATTAGTAAGTACATATAATAAATATCTACTGAATAATCAGACAAGTGTCTAGCATTCAGGTAGATTTAAAAATCAATGATATGGCTCCTGCTCTCAATACATTCTCACAAGGGACAAGAACAACATAGGGAACAGTGTAACGTGCCCAAAACATAACATGTAGCTAAGTGCTATGGGGTGACTTATCCTCTCTTCTTCCAAATAGAACAGTGTGTTTCACTAGTACTGGGAACAGAGATGGTTAGTTAAGATACAGGCCAAGAGACCAAAAATTTCTTAGATTTAACTTATTTCTAGAACTTGAATGTGCTTTTGATTCAAGCAGCAGCAGGGTGTTTCAAAATGGAATGGAGATGACATGAATTACCTGTTGTTACGCAGGTCATAGCCTCTCACCATTGCACATTATCAGAAAAGGAATGGTATCGATAAAAGACATGCAGCACTATTAAAAATACGTGATTTCAAAAGTTATTAATTATATTAATACAAATTCAGGCTTAAAGATGTTAAACAAATGTGTCCATAAGCAGCCCAAGAGAAAAGGGAAGGGGTAGGGCCCGACAACGTTCAAGTACACAGCACTGACCTCGGAGCGACATCCCGCCCCTCAGCAGGGTTCTGGTGGCACGTCCCCCTCGAAGTCCTCCTCTGGGCAAGCCTCTCTGGATTATGGGCAGGCCTCGTCCGCCGATTGCTCCCCTGGCCAGGGTCCCTATGGGTCGGCCTAACCGTGCCTGGATGTTACTCTTACCCAGGCGCTGCTTTAAGCTCTTCTGGAAGAAAAGGTGTTGGGGGATTGAGATCAAAAAAGCATTCCGATGGGATTCGGCAACTCGAAGTGCAGAGAAAAAGAAGCAGTGAGATGGCTGTGTGCAGGGAGATAAACTTGCCGTAGGCGTCACATAAAGAACCTAATGCAGAAACTAGCCTTTGCCTCAGAACGTGATAGAAAAGAAGCAGAATTCTGATCCAGAGCCTTTACAAAAGTTTGAGTATGGTCCCATGAAATTGGCATCAACACAAATTACCTCACTAGTTTGGCTACAAAAGCCAGACACCACTACATGAAACTTTAAGTTTTAAGAAAGAACTCTTGTATTTCAAATCCTGGATTCTGTTTTTGAACCACAGGTTGACAACGATATGACTGGATTCATACTTGCCCAAGGACTACCACTGTCTTCAAAGGCTTACTCAAACACCAAATGAAGTTCATCACACTCTGGGAAAAATTTAAATTACAAGTTCATCTGAATTCTTGTCACTTAAAAACAAGATTTGATCTTTCAGTCAAAGAGGCCAGTGTGTTCCATTTTTCCTCTGAGTTATCTATCTCCAGACGATCCATTTTTACCTTAAGATGTAAATAAACACAAAAAAGTCAAACCTTTCCTTACATTTCTTAAACAGCCATTAATTCCATGTCTACCCTTGCAAACAGCTCCATTAGGCCAATACAATAACCTTTAATTCCAAATAAACATGTAACTCAACTGTATCTCCAGAGAGCTAGCCAAACTTTCATTGGAATTAAGACAGGGACGTTATAATCACAAAACTCAGGGCCATGTTTGAGGACCTAGAGATTTTCAATAATCTATCCCTCAAAGAGAAACTAAAGACCACATCTCAGGAAGTTAAATATCCTTCAAAGGAAAAGGTAACTGTGTAACCTTGAACACATCCAAAGCCCCAGCAAATCTGTTTCCCCATAAAACCATTAGCCAGTAGGAATGAAAATAAATTCTGTCCTCTTGCTTCACCCATAAATGACTACCAATGATTTTTTGTTTTTGCAACCAAATGCTATGTGTTATGAGTTTTCTAGCACAATATAATAAACTAATCAAAGGGACAGTTTCTGAACAGTATGCACTTAGGCATAAATGACATTATAAGAGCCTGTCGTGTCACCCTGACAGCACACAATTAGGATGTCAGGACTTCATTCTCCAAATCTCTTATATTCAGTGATACTGAATATATTCCCCCCAAAATCTGTACTTTAGTGGGGAATGCACAGTGCTTAGAAGTCCTCCCTTCTTAGTCCTTAGCTGCCAGCAACACTGGTGTCTACAACAAATGGAAAGCTTAAGGATGTCAACTACACCACCTAGTTTTCACTCTAGAGCTGTGCTGTATGCTAAGGTGGCCACTAGCCACATGTGGCTATTTCAGTTGCAAGTAAATAAAAATTTAAAAGCTCCCCAGTCACATTAGCCACATTCTGAGTGCTCAATAGTCACACACGGCTAGAGACTACCATACTGGAGAGGAGATAAAGAATATTTCCAGGGGCGCCTGGGTGGCTTAGTCGGTTGGGCGTCCGACTTTCGCTTGGGTCATGATATCACGGTTCGTGGGTTTGAGCCCCGTGTCAGGCTCTGTGCTGACTGCCAGCTCGGAGCCTGGAGCCTATTTCAGAGTCTGTGACTCCCTCTCTCTCTGACCCTCCCCTGCTCACACTGTCTCTCTCTCTCTCCCCTAGAAATAAATAAAACATTAAAAAAAAAAAAAAAGAATATTTCCATCACTGTGTAAAGTTCTATTCGACAGCTCTGCTCCAGAAGCCGCTTTGTGCACAGCCTACATTTAAAGCTTCTTCTTGGGGCAACCAGGTGGCTCAGTCAGTTGAGCGACTGACTTGATTTTGGCTCAGGTCATGATCTCGCAGACTCTGCGCAGAGCCTGCTTAAGAGCTCTTTCCCTCTGCTGCCTTTCTCCCCTGTCCATGCACACTCTCTTTAAACACACACACACACACACACACACACACACACACCCCAAACAAAACAAAACACCAAAAAACAAAAACTTCTTGAAAGGTCTTTTGGAATGATCTGTCAGAGGCTTATCGTCAGCAATTTATAATACCTACTCTTGGAAAATGGTGGGGCCTTTTTATGGCTTTCCTAAGTCAGGGACAAAATATAGGAAATCCAAGGCTTAAGGTAGCTGAAGCAGAAGGCCTTGTTTATTTTTGGTCAGTGAGCCCAACAGTTCAGGGTGGGGGTGGGGGTGGGAGGGTGTTATATTTAACTGCTGAATTTATGCACAGCCATGCAGTGCTACCAGTTAAAGTCCTTACAGTTGCATGGCATCGCCCTCCAGACGCCCAGCCACAGCTTGGACATATCCTTCCACAGCCACTGTCCGGACTCGCATATAAAGTCTATGAATAATAAAGAGCAGGTTTTATTTCAGATCTGAACAGAATTATCTCTTACCGGAAATTTGAAAGAGAACCCACTAATTCTTTAATTACTCCGTGCTCTCACTATTTACTGACAAAACTTTAGGTGCTGTGGAGATGAAGGCCATCCTATTCTTTCTATATTTTAGCACTGAAAATCTCTGACTAAGGCTGTTCAGATTTCCTGTGCTAGGAGAAATAGAATAAAGTTATCTTCGTAATTTGTAACTCATTTAACAGGGAATAAAGGATTTTCTGAGATCATGTAAAACAAACCAAAATTTCTTTCTTTCATTTCTTGGCTTCAAACAAAAGACATTTATTCTCTCACAGTTCTGGAGACTAGAAAACCCAAAATTTCTTTGTGGTAAAATCCAGCAAATCTACTTTAAGGCCAAAGGATCAGAAAAAAAGAAATTAAAACTCATTGATAACACAGAAACAGGCCATACTGATGGCAAACTACCTAAAAGAGAAAGACAACAAGAAGTTACTTATTGGTACCTGCTACAATGGGAATTCTCTGAATTTCTCTTTCCTCCAGAGAAGTTTCTGCTTTTGCCCTGAGCCACCTTGTAATCATCCATCACATCCTGACAGCCTCAGTGGACTGTCTGACAGAGATCACCAGCTGCTTCTGGAGCATTAAGACCCATCCTCTCACCTGCTTAAGTTTTAATGCTGCCTGGACAGAGGGTCTATTCTCCATCTGCTGGGCCAGTCTTCTGTTTCTGGCACTGGCTAGCTGCTGTTGTTGCTGCATCGAAGCCCGAATATTCACTGGCATCGGCTGTTTGTTCTTCAGCATATTAGTAAAGCTTCAAGGTCGAACAAAATGGATGTTTAAATAAAAGCTTTATTACAAAACATTTACTGGCATTTTCATGGCTTGCTAGACCAGGAGCTCCAGATCCCACGAACTTTTAAGTAAAGTGGTACACTTAGATCAAGGTTGATGTGGGTTCTTTAAAGACTCCTCTGCTTCCACAAACTTGCAAGAATCAGAAACTTAGAAATGCAGCTAAGTGCAGCACATTCAATCAGAAGTGATAACAAGGGCTCAGGTAACGGCTTTTAGAGAGGTCGAAGATATGAAAAACACGCAATAAGCAGATATGATGACAACAAAAGACAGAAAATGTGGTTTCAGAGACAAACAAAGAAAGCCAAAATCTTGGGGGAGCCTGAAGATGCACTGTCAGGGCAAATATAAGGAAGGACTTGAGGACCTCACAGACCACAGAAATAGCACATCCATGTAAGTCACAGCAGTGTATCATATTTTCGTATTTTTTCACCTAATAACATGTAAATATGGAGAAATCAGTGTAACATAACCTAAGATATAAGAAGCACATATGCTCTGGAAAAGGCAAAAATAAACATCAATTAAATCTTTTAGTGGTCTCACATCAACTTAATAAAATCAGCTTCGGCTCAGGTCATGAGCTCACGGTTTGTGGGTTCGAGCGCTGCATTGGGCTCTGTGCTGACAGCTCAGAGCCTTCAGATTGTGTCTCCCTTTCTCTCTGGTCCTCCCCCACTTGCACTCTGTGTCTCTCCCTTTCAAAAATAAACAAACATTAAAAAATTTTTTTAAAAAATAAACTCATTTGTCAAAGGCAGTAAATAAAGAGCTCTCAGAGATGTACCTTAACTTGTCTTAGGCTCAAATGATTACTTTTCCTGATTCCAAGTGAGTATTTCTGAGAAAATCAAGATTAATTTAGTCACTGAACAGCTTGTGAAGACACTTCTATTATTCCTGTCAAAGTAAGTTTAATAGAACAAAAAAGAACACTTAACTGTAAAAGAATCTAACACAAAAACAAATTAAAAGCAGTATCGAAAGAAAGAGAAATGGAGCAAAGCACGTGCCTCTTACAAGGCCCAAGAATGACATTCGAGGGCCTTCGGACATTCCACAGCTTGCTACCTGCCTCTTACAGACCAGACGCAACACGGCCGGCCTCGGACTGGGCAGCAAGCCTAGTGCAGCCAAGGTACCATGCTACCGAGCTGCAACCACCCCTGTATCGATGTAAAAAATATGAAAAGAGGGAGGGTGTGAGGAGTCTTTTTAAAATACATCCCACCAGATAAATATTTGAGACAGCTTAACATAAAAATCTACTGATAAGGGGTTTTGAAACAACCGCCCAATTTGTTTTGTGTACCACATAAGATGAAACTAAACACAGAGGTCTGTAGCCTTCTGTTGGTATTTAGTTTAAAACTGGTTTTTGTGCATTGGACCCCAGGGCCAATTTAAGTAATGTTTTCTTATGAACGCGCTGAAGTTGCTGTTGGCTGCCTCACCGCTCATTTAGAGACATCTTGGTGGTGCTTTTTAGCACAACTTTCGGCGCTGACTGTGCAGCCATCTTCAAATCCCGAGAATCTACAAAGGACAATGGGCAGAATGAGCAAGTCAGAAAAGGGACCACCTCGTATCTACAAGCATCAAGGGTTTCCCAACAGCAAATGAAAAGATAAGGCCTGTATCAACGGCCATGGAAGAATCCACCGAAACGCATTTTGGGTGTTGCTTAAGTCGACACCACGGTTACCGCGAACTGCGAAATTTCGAGGCCACCGGACAGAAACTATCTTCCCAGACCTTCAAGATGGCAGACGCACACCGGGCTAGCCGAGCCGAGAGGGGCTACGTGAATCCGGGGCGGTCCTTCTCAACCTCGGCCGCGGGGCGCTGCGAACCCTCCCACGCAAAGCCCGATCTCCCGCGGCCAGGTCCGCGGCCCCGGCTAGGCGCTTCTCGCGGGCGGCCGCCGCCGAGAACCAGGACGCAGGGACACGGCGCAGGCAAACCCGTTTGGAAACGGGCTTTCGACTCCCCACTCCGGAAGGAGCCTTCGCTAGCGCCCGGCGGAGGCAGCACGGAAGGTGTCCCGAACCGGCATCCGCCCGCGGCCGCCTCGACGCTCCAACGCCCCCTCACGGCCCAGCCAGGCCCCGCCCCCCGGCCACCCGGGCCGCCCCGCCGCGGAAACGCACCGAAGGAAACGGACGCCAGTGCGCCTCCCGGGGCTGCCACCACGGCTGCGGCGCGCGGGCCGGGGGCCGGCCGAACCTGAGTTGACCTGGTGGGCGGATGGTTAGAGGTGTAAGCGGTCGGTTGCTAGGTTATCTCGTTGTAGCCAGGCGGCTGTCTGGTCGGCCGGCCCGCCTGCTCGCCCGGCCTGCCCTTTCCTGCCTTGCGTCTGTGCCGCCACAGCCGCCGCCGCCGCCGCCTCCCGCTCGGTGCCCGAAACAAAATGGCCGCCACGCCCAGAGCCGAGTGGGTCCGGCTAAAATGGCGTCGACGCAATTACGTCGGACGCCGGATCCGCGCACAGCCAGGGGGCGAGAAGGTTAGCGCTACGCCTGCGTGCGGATGGGGGCGGAGCCCTAGGGAGAAGGCGGGCCCTTAGCCAAGGCGGTGTCCGAGGAGTTTTCTGCTCCGCCCACCGAGGGGCGTGGCCCGTGGTTGCTGGCAGGGCTTGTCGCGGCGTCACGCCCCGGCCGCGCGGCTGGGTTGCGGCCCTCTGACGGCGCTTCGGCCTCCGGGCCGCGGCGGTCGTGCTTCCCCGCGGCGCTCCGGCCCTGGCCGAGGCGGACCCTGTAAAACCGTTCAGTGGGATCTGCACCATCTCCCGCCCTGTTGGGGGCCTGCCGCGAGCCGCAGAGCGGGGGGCCACCAGTGCCTGGAGCACCTGTTTCTTTCTAACGGTCGTCGGTCCTCACGGGGGTGTCCGCGTCGGGCTCCGCTCCCGCGCCCTCCCCACCTGCCAGTCATCTGCATTTTGATGCAGACCTGCCTGCACGGAAATTTTCTTATGCTCAGACACATAATAAAAAATACCCAGATGTTTGGGGCACCTGGGTGGCTCAGTGGTTTCCCACTCTTGATACCAGCTCAGGTCATGATCCCGTGGCCGCGTGGTCCCGCCGGCGGCCGGCTCCCGGCTCGGGGTTCTCTCGCTCTCCGCCCCTCTCCCCAGATGGCCGCGCGCTCTCAGGTGTTTGAAGAATGAGTGAATGAACACGCCTTCAACCCTCTTCCACATACGCGCCTCAGGATGCTTTCGTTTTCATTCCTAGCATTTCCTGCGTGTGTTTAGTGGTCTGGCATCTTGATCTACGCGAGGGTTAGGTCGTGTTTGTTTGGTTCACTACTACGTCCCCGGTGCCTACACAGTGTCTAGTTCATGGTAGGTCCACGGTAGATATTCTTTGCAGATTGAAGGGAAATTCTTCCGGCTGAGAAGCCAGAAAGTCTCCTGTGTCTGCAGCTGGAACCCTGAATGCCTGCCTTCCTAGGCCTCGAGCATTCCTCAGCTAGGAAGATGTACTGTTTCTTGATCTCTCTCCGAATAAGATCCCTTCCCAAATAAGGTGAATTGCGAGTGAGGGACCTTGACTTTCTTACTCACTTCCAGACCGCAAAGGAGACACACAGCCGCTGGCGAGAGAAGAGCCTTTAATGAAAGAGGAGGTGCAGGCCTGGCCCGCTCCTGTCGCGCCCTTGGTGGAGGATGGTCGAGGGCAGGAGAACAGGGAGGGCGCATTGGGGTCAGGGGGAGCAGGGGGAAGGGGCAGGTGCGGCAGGGGAAGGGCGCTGCCCACTGGGGCTGTCTGCTCAGCTGTTCTCCCAGAAGAAGTTGTTACAGGCCACTGTGAGGGCAGCCACCAGCACCACGTACTCCTGGAAGTCCACCTCCCCATCTCCATTCTCGTCGAGCTCTTTCATCACCTTGTCCACAGCGTCTGCATCCTTCTGGGCCTGTGGAGGGCGAGCCGGAGAGTAGATACATAGGGAAGTGACTAGTACTGAATCAGGGGCAAGAGGGGAGGTTGATTGGGAAGAAGGAGGCAGAGATGAACAAGAGGAAGAAAAACATCTCGTTATAGGATTCCTCTGACTCACTCTTCAAAACTAACACTTGTGGCCTCCTGTTGCCTACAGAATAAGCCCCTTAATGAGGCAGAGTAATAACAACAACATCAATTACCATAGGTGGGGTGCCTAGGATGCAACGAGCTTTACAAGCATTGTCTAATTTAATTCTAACACAAATAGTATGAGGCAGGTTTCATTATTCTCATACTAGAGAGAAGACACAAATTAACAGTTGGTGGTTAAAGAATGTTCCCAAGTCACACAGCCAGCAGCTGCCAGAGTCAGAATTGGAACCCAGGCCTGATAAAACCTCAAAGCTGGCACACTTTCTACTGGCTTCTTTAGTATATAAGCCCCTGTTAGCACCTGCCGCCTACTTTTCTGCATCCTTCACTCTGGTCAGAACTACTGAGTGTGCTCCATATTCTTCTTTCTTCCATGCTTTTGTCATGCAGATACCTCCTAAAATGTCTACATTTGCCCTAATAATATTCCAACAGAAACCCGTGGCTCAAGGACCACCTCTTTGGAGGAGCCCACTTCTGTCAGGTTACTAGTTCCCATAATCCTTTGTGGCAATTCTGTTAAAGCTCCGAGTACTTCCTGAGTGGTTGTCCCAAGACTTCATGGGGAGGGGATTTCATTGCCTCATGTCAGCGGACTGGGGCCTCTTTTGGTCCCCCATCTATGCTCACTCCTGAGCATTTCACTTCCCGGTGTTCATGGTTTACTGTCACGTGTCAGTCTTTCCCGTCTAGACTGTGAGTCTTCTTATTGATGCATCTGCACAGGTCTTAGCACTTCACAGGTGATTAATAAATTAGTGTTTGGGTTTTTTTTGTCTTGAGCCAGGAGGGGTAGGGAAGCATGGAAAAACTCAGGAAAGAGGTCTGGGAGAGGAAGGAGACGACTGGGCTGCATTGGGAAGATGGAAGGGAGGTGTCCCTCCGCCCCTCACCCGCTCCACCTGTACCCCACTCTGCTCACGTCCAGGAAGCCAGAGAGCTCAGTCTGCAGCAGTTCTTTTAGCTCCTTCTTGCTCAACTTGTACTTGTCTCCCTCCTTGCCCGAGTGGGCATGGAACACATTGATGAGCGTCTCCATCGCGGTCTCCAACTCCGAGCCCATTGTGCAGCTCACCTACCCACACCCGCCATGGGAGGAAGTTAGGGATCATGCTTCAGGCTATCTGGGGTCAGGGTGAGGGGAGCCCTCAGCCTGGCCCTGGTCCCACAGCTGAAATAGCCATGAGATCAGCGCCACACCACAGTTTATCTCTCACCGAGATTTTATGATGTGGGAACCTAACAGGCCTAAATCCGGACTTGCTCTCTGTGTCCCTCAGTCCGTATCCCGGCCAGAGGCAGTCAGTGTTTGGGGCGTGAAGGCAGAGCGGCCGTGGCTAGCTCTAGAGGCCCGCAGTGGACTCTGTAGTGGCTCCTGGCTGCCTGGGCAGACACTGAGGAGGGTGGCGCGGGCAGGCGGGGATGGTCACAGGGCCCTGCCAAGCTGCCTCTGGCTCTATTTTTACCCTGCTGTGTGCCTGCTTAGCACAGCCAAGCTCTGCTGTTGAGGGTGGTGGGCTGTGCCCCCCTCCACAGCCTTGACTCTCTGCCCATGCCTAGCAAGGAGTCAGTCTGGAGCTCTCAGTCAGTCTGAAGGAGAGAGTGTAGCCAGAGGGGCTGGCCCAAGGCTTCACGGGGAAGGGGATCTAACTGCCTCTGAGTTTCCTGTCAGCAGACGGGGGCCTCTTTCGGGCCTTCGACTCTGCTCTCTCCTGAACATGTCACTTTAGCTTCCCTGGGGTGCATCTCCGTGATCTCTAGTTGGGTTTCTCTTCCTTCTCTGCAGACTCAGGCCTCCCGTTGGGTGATGGTAGGAAGGGAGGAAGGGGTGTGGAAGCCTTTCCCCAGAGCCGGGGTCCCCGGCAGGGAGAGAGGACGCCTCTGCGGCCTTGTCCCAGCCATGGCCTACTCCTACCCCACGCCCAGCCTGGATGCGGTGAGGACAGTGGCAGCTGGCTGAGTGGGGCTGCTGGATGCTGGGGGAGGTAGAAGGCTGAGCGCGTCCTCTGGATTCAAGGGGCTCGAGACAGGAAGAGAAAAATGGAGGGGTTTGTGCAGGAGAGGGGCCAACCCGGGAGGCCTCTTTCTTTTGGCCTTAGGATGGTCAGCCCCTCCACAGCCTCAGGGGGCAGCTCAGGTGTCCCAGCTCAGGTGTCCTTACCCTTCCTCAGTCCTAAGGGGCTGAACAATGGGCCCTGATCGAATGACATTCCAACTTTACAATGGGGACCTTGTGAGTGTCACCTGAACTCGGCATGAGAAGCAGTTGTCACAGAGACACAGGGGAGAGATGGAACCCAAGCCGGGCTGGCGGAGGGGATAGGGTGCGTGTGGGGGGGGACTGTCCGTGGCTCGGTTATGGACCCATCCAGGATGGGCACTCGGAGGTTGCCTGGAGCCCTCGAGGAGGCTGGGATGTTATGCAGGGGCCATCTGGAGAGGACTTCAGCAGGGAGCGGGGAGACAGCAAAACAAAGGGAAAGACTTGAAGGAAAGAGGAGTCTGGGAGTCTGGGCCAAGGGAGGAGGAGGAGAGAGAGGAGGTCATGTGAAAGGAGAGTTGGGAGTGGGTCCCGCACCCTAATGCCCTCTCCTCCTGACACCCCACGGCCCATGCTCTCCTACCCCCACACTTCTCTGGGACCTAAGCTTTTGGCAAGGCTGGGTGGGGGTGGGGGCAGAAATCGCAGTCCCATTTGCTTTCTGAGCCTCCTGGAAGCAAAGTGGGAGCCGAGTCCCCTCCCCAGCATCTGGGAGATCCAGGGAGCCTTGGGAGAGCACTCAGGGCGCTGCGGTAGGAGGGCTTCATCTCTTGGAAGCTTCCTCGTTCCCTGAGGAACACCACCGACCTCTCTCTGAACTTGGCTGGCTTCCCTGTAGTACTCTCCGAACCCTGTCTCCCCCAAATCCCAAACTGCTGTCACCCGAACTCCTCCCACACCCTCAGTGCACCCCAATGCTGTTGTCCCCAGACTTCTGGAGCTCTGCTGAAGTCCCCTTCCCCTAGGCTGGCCGCAGCAGGGTACTCACCGTCAGCCTGGACCTGAGGTGGGAGCAGGTTCTGGACAGACAGACGAGTCTGCAGATGTGGCCACCAGAGCTGTGTGGGGAGACCTGTCTCCAGTCCTGCCCCCCGCGGCCCCCCTCCCCGTCAGCTCCACCCCTTCACAGAGACCCAGCTGGGGCGAGCCGCCAGGAGCGGACAGAGGCGCCCTCTGTCTCCTGGGCTGGAACAGGCCGCCCTGTGTCCTCTTCTCCAGCCTCGAGCGCCTCCCCCGACTGCTGGGCCCCCGGGAGGTGGGCAAGGGCCTGGGAGGGGCACCGAGAGGCCTCTGCCACTCCGTGCAGCACGGGCAGCAAAGGGGAGGACCCAGCTGAGGGGTCTCAGTGAGGGGACCTCCCGGTGGATCATTTAATGCTGGGCGTCTCCCGGAGTGCTGGCTGGGAGACTTCAGTCCGGGGCCTCCTCTACCGAGGTCTCTGCCGGACCCCCAGCCCTCAGCCCAGGTCCTCCCGTCCGTGGGAGCCTCTTGGGGGTCTGGGGCTGCAGGGTCCTTTTCAGGATCCCCTCCGGAGGGGCTCTCTGTGGTGTCTCTCAGCTCCAGAGTGGAAGGGGGGGGCGGGGAAGGCGGTGGGACGGCAGGGCTCCCCGCGTGCGCGCGTGGGCCAGGTGGGCGGGGGACCGCGGCACCCCGGCACCCGCCGCCCCCGAGTGCAGGGGGCCGGTGTTGGGAGGCGGGCCTGGGCGGTCTCCTCCCTCCGGGATCCGGGCAGTAGCCAGACACCTCCGGGCTGGGCTGGGGCTCTGCCGCCTCCTGCCCGGCGGCCCCGGCGCGCACCCCCGCCCACCTCCTTGCCGCGGTGAGTCCAGTGTCCTCACCCGGGGGGGGGGGGGGCGGGCGCCTCTCCGTCGCGGGGCTCGCGGGCCCCTCCCCGAGCCAGCTCGGACCGGGGTGCGGGAGGGTTTGGGGGCGCCAGGAGGCCGTCCTCGCTGGGGAGGGCGGCGGGCTCGGCCCTGCGCCCCCTGCGCCCGCCTGCCCGGCGGGGTCTCCGCGGCCTGACCTTAGGCTGACCGCCGGCCGACCGCAGCCGGGCGTGCTCCCGACCGCGGCTTTTTGCCCGGGCCGTGTGGGCGGGCCGGGTCCCTGCACAAACAAGCTTTGGAGACGGACGGCCTCGTGACCCCTGGGGTGAACCTCCAAGAGAGCGCCCTGGGGACCAAAGTGCCTCCTCGCAGACAGAGGGGTCTCCGGATCCACCCGGCTCCAACCTGGAGAGGACGGAGTTTCTGGAAGCACACACCCCTTCCTCCACCCACTTTGAGCTGTTTCCTGGCCCCCTCCCCCAGGCTCCATCCCTGTCCCCTCCGCCCTTCCCGGGGAAGTCTCCCTGCGGGCTGGGGCAGGCTGGCCTACTCTGGCTCTCCCTTTGTCTGCCTCCCGCCCTACAGGGTCCTGATGGCGGCGGAGCCACTGACCGAGCTGGAGGCAGCCATCGAGACAGTGGTCACTACCTTTTTCACCTTTGCAGCGCAGGAGGGCCGCAGGGGCAGCCTCAGCATCAATGAGTTTAAGGAACTGGTCACTCAGCTGTTGCCCCACTTGCTCAAGGTAGGTGGGGGTCTCTGGGCCTGAGACTCTGGAAGACAGTGGCTGCCAGACCGTGTATGTGAGGTGGGCTAGGTGATATTTCTGGACACGATCGTGTGACCTCAGGTACTTGGTGGACAAGGGTGTGGGTGACTACGTGTGTAAAGGATTCTGGTGTGTGTGTGTAACTAGGTAACGCTGTGTCAGTGTGAGTGCAAGTCTGTTATTTGGGCTTTGTGTTCCCATCAGACAATGCTGTTGGGCTCTTGGGTCTGCTCTGTGCCTCTCTGGTCTCATTTACCCAACATAGGAGTGGACCCAGAGGTGGCTTCCGGGAGACTGACAAACCATCAGAGCTGGAAGGAGGCCAAGACAAAACAGTCCAAACTCCTAACTTCGCTCAGGTGGAAATTGAGGCTCAGCTGTAGAAAGGGGTTTGTCAACAATAAAAACACAGTCAAATTCATGCAGAGATAGAATCTCAGAGTAGGAGAGACCTGTAAGTCGTCCATGACTGCTCCTCTCCCGCTCTGGGAATCCGCTCAATAATGTGCCTGGTAAGGTCATTCCTTCTCTCCTACTCACTGGAGAGAATTTAAATTTCATCCACTCTGAGTTGCCCAATCATCCCAGCCTGTTAACAGTTTGTTTCATCCTTTCTGAGAATTCACAGGCACATAACAGTGTGTGAATATGGATTTAAAAAAAAACACCCCAAAACACAAGCAAATCTTGGAAACTCAGTCCATCATCTGCAAAATCCCCTACATTCTTAAGAGACTTCTCGGCCCTTCCCTTTCTCTTCTCTCAGGAAACCTGAGACTCACGGAAGGCCGAGTGTTCCCTGGAGCCTTGTCAAATAGTGACTGGTTTTTCCTCGAACCCAGCTGCCCCTGGGCCTGCTTCCAGATCTTAGTTTCTTCTCCCTGAGACGCGCAGCTCCTCCCCCCCACCCTTCCTGCACCCTTACAGCTCTTCAGTTCCTGCCTTGCTCTTTGTTCTTCCCATCGCTGCACAGACAGTTCACCCAACACCTGGACCTTCCAGCGACGTCAACCCCTTGCTTCCTGCTTCTGAGCAGCTCACTCCTCTGTCGTTGCTTCAGATCTTGTCTTTACCAGAATGGTGCCCCACCTCCACAGGCTCCTCTCCGAGCGCCAGAGCACCACCTCCTGCTGTCCCAGTTCTGTCCCTCCGCTCCAGCATTTCCTGGGCCCCAACGGGACCTAGTCCTGCGCCCTTGTTCCCCGTGCCCGTCATGTCCTCAGTCCCTCCTCGTTCAGCTGGGCTGTAAGGCTCAGCATGGAAATCCGTCCCTCAGTCACGTCCCATCCTCGATTCTGTTCCTCTCCGTCCTGGTTGTTTGGCAGAATCACAACCCAGGTTAAGTCCAATATATCATCTCCATTAACTTGATGGTCACATCTACCATTCTTTCTCAGATCCAAAAGAAAGCGAAAATTTCCGTTCTCAGAGGGAAAAAACAGTCAGTCAATCCACCAGTCTACCTGTTCTTCTGTGTCTGCACTTGTGTAGCTGAATCTGGCTGGAGAAAGGTGCTGCCACGTTACTTGTCAGGCTTTGTCGTTTTTATTTTCTTAAAAGAAACTTTTTTTAAACATTTATTTATTATTATTGAGAAACAGAGAGACATAGCATGAACAGGGGAGGGACAGAGAGAAGGGGAGACACAGAATCCGAAGCAGACTCCAGGCTCTGAGCTGTCAGCACAGAGCCCGACGCGGGGCCCGAACCCACAAACTGCAAGATCAAGACCTGAGCTGAAGTCAGACGCTTAACCGACTGAGCCACCCAGGCGCCCCTGTCATTTTTATTAATATTATTTTAAAAATTAAAATTGTTTTAATGTTTATTTTTGAGAGAGAGAGACAGAGTGAGAGACAGAGACAGAGCACGAGTGGGACAGGGCAGAGAGAGGGAGACACAGAATCTGAAGTGGGCTCCAGGCTCTGAGCTGTCAGCACAGGGCCCGACACGGGGCTCGAACTCACAAACTGCAAGATCATGACCTGAGCTGAAGTCAGATGCTCAACTGAGTGAACCACCCAGGCGCCCCTATTCATATTATTTTTTAAATGGAAGTATAGTTGATACAGAATGTTGACTCATCTCTTTTGAAATCTATGACCATGAACTCCAAGGGGACCCTTGGCACAGCCTGCCAATTCTGCTACATTTCCCCTGTCGGTTCATTTACCAGCTCTTTCAGATGCTAATTTCACAACTTCTCCTCCCTCCTCAAACTCCAGTCCCTCTTTCCACATTCTCCATCTCACTGAGAAATGTTCTCAGAGAAAACAACGGCAATCAGGAAACTTCTGTACACTGTGCCCTGAGTCTACCAAAGGTCAGCAGATACCTTGCCTCCCTTCCTGCTCCCAGAAGCACCTGTGTCTGCCCCTGAGGCCAGCCCTCCTCTGTTGCCCGACCCCACTCCTTCTCACCGCCTAAAATCTCTACCCTTTTGGGGCGCCTGGGTGCCTTAGTCAGTTGGGCGTCCGACTTTCGCTTAGGTCGTGGTCTCGCGGTTCATGGGTTCGGGCCCCGTGTCGGGCTCTGTGCTGGCTGCAGGCGCGGAGCCTGGAGCCCATTTCAGAGTCTGTGTTTCCCTCTCTCTCTGACCCTCCCCTGCTCACGCTGTCTCTCTCTTCCTCTCTCTCCTAGTAATAGATAAAAATATTAAAAAAATAAATAAATAAAATCTCTACCCTTTCAGTTCCTCCTCCTCTCTCTTGCACCATCAATTCTTCCTCTCTATTAGATTGTTGTGATCAGTTTTCCAATATATTGTAATATCTCCCATCTTAAAAAAAAAACAAACACCCTTTCTTGACTCTGTAACCCCCTCCAGCTATGCCTTCTATCTCTGCAAAACTCAAAATTCTTATTTGCTCTCCTGGCCCTGAATGCTCATCCCTCAGGCATTTGCCAAGCTTATTCTTCACTGAACTCAGATTTCTTCTCAAATGGCAAATCCCCACCATGGCCTTCCTTCACCTCTGAGGGCAAAGATCGCCTACCTTGTGCTCTATTCCTTTAACCTCTTTTATTTTCTTCCAGAATACACCTATCACAACCTGACTTCCATCACATACTTATATTTCCCAAGAATGTACGTCCCATGAAGGAAAGGAATCTGCTTACTATTTTATCTCCAGCACTTAGAGCAGTGCCTGACTTCTAGTAGGTGCTCAGCAAAATATTGAGTGAAATTGTTGGGGCGCCTGGGTGGCTTAGTCGGTTAAGCGTCCGACTTTCGCTTGGGTCATGATCTCACGGTTCGTGGGTTCAAGCCCCGCGTCGGGCTCTGTGCTGACTGCCAGCTCAGAGCCTGGAGCCTGTTTCAGTCTGTGACTCCCTCTCTCTCTGACCCTCCCCTGCTCACGCTGTCTCTCTCTCTCTCTCCTAGAAATAAAAAAAAAAAAAAAAAAAAAATGTTAAAAAAAAAAAAAAAAAAAAAAAAGAAATTGTAAAAAAGTGTTTAAAAAATTAAGAATTTGGGGCACCTGAGTGGCTTAGTCAGTTAGCCGCCAGCCGACTTCGGCTCAGGTCCTGATCTCGAAGTTTGTGAGTTCGAGCTTCTCGTTGGGCTCTGTGCTGGCAGCTCAGAGCCTGGAGCTGCTTCGGCTTCTGTGTCTCCTTCTCTCTCTGCCCCTCCCCCTCTCATACTCTGTCCTTCTCAAAAATAAATAAACATTAAAAAAAAAGTAAGAATTTTTGTTGAGTGAGTAAATGAATAAATGCATCTTACCTACAGTTCTACAAATACCTTTTAAAATGTAACAGTGCATAAAGGATATTTCCATTTGAAGAAAATGATGCACTCTCCATAATGGTATGTAGGTTAACACAAATTTGTGTAGCTAATTTTCTACCGATGGACATTTCTTGTGTCCATTTTTTCCCTTTTGCAAACATCCTTGTTTATATATCTTTACAAATATCTATACAGGGTAACCGTCTGTCAGTAGAAATACTAGGTCAAAAGGCATGTTTGTTTTTCATTTTTATAGATATTGCCTGTTTGCCTTCCGGCAGGGTTCTTATCAGGCTTCAAGGCCACCAGTGCATGCGAATGCCCGTTTCGCCACGTCCTTGCCTAAATTGTGTCTTGTCAGACTTTTAATTTTTGCTAAACTGTGAAGATGATGGCTTGTTCTGACTTACACTTTTTAAACTATGAGTGAAATGGAATATTAAGTACCATTTTTGACGGACACATATAATCCTTTTTCTATGAATTGCTTGTTTGTTTCTTTTATTAAGTAGATTTTCTTTTTCTAAATTCATTTATTTGTTTGTTTGTTTATTAATGCTTATTTATTTTTGAGAGAGAGAGAGACAGAGTGCAAGCATGGGAGGTGCAGAGAGGAAGGGAGACAGATAATCTAAAGCAGGCTTTGTGCTGACAGCAGAGAGCCCGACATAGGGCTTGAACTCATGAGCAATGAGATCATGACCTGAGCCAAAGATGGACACTCAACTGACTGAACCACCCAGGTGCCCCTCTGATAGTTTTTTAAAAAGGGGGAAGAAATAGAAAGTAGTGGATAAAAGCACAAGCTTTAAGTCAGACAATCTAGGTTCAAATGCAGATTCTAGCTTGTCATCCTTGGTTATTTAATCTTTCTGAGCCTTAATTTCTTTTTTTTTTTTAAAAATTTTTATTTTAATGTTTAATTATTTTTGAGAGTGAGAGAGAGACAGAGCATCAGCAGGGGAGGGGCAGAGAGAGAGGGAAACACAGAATCAAGAGCAGGCTCCTGGCTCTGAGCTGTCAGCACAGAGCGCTACATGAGGCTTGAATCCACAAACTCTAAGATCATGATCCAAGTTGAAGTCAGACACTTAATTGACTGAGCCACTTAGGCGTCCCATGAACCTTAATTTCTTATCTGTGAAATGGACTCATAGTAATACCTTCCTCATTGCATTGGTCTTGCTTTATTTGGTCAGTATTTATTGAGCACCTCCTATGTCCTGCCCTGATTCTGTCTTAGGCTTTGGGTTACAATGGCGAACAAGATGAACAAGGTCCCTTTCATTCTAGCAGATCATGAAGATTAAATGGAGTAAGGCATATAATGCGTTTAGCATAAGGCTTGGGACAGTCAGCACTATTATTAAGTGGTTACAATTGTTGAAATGTTAGCTGTTATCACTCTTTTGGTTTTTTCTAGGTATGCAATTATATAATTGCTAATATAATAGAAGGTGAATTTTCCTCTTCTTTCCTAATACTTATACCTTTTATTCCTTTCTCTTGATTAATTGTATATTTTTTCCCCTCCCAATGTAATGTTACCCTGGGCATCTTTGCCTTCCACTGGCAATGCTTATAGTATTTTACAATTAAGCATGAGTGTGGCTTTTTAAAGGGTCTTTCTTAGCTTTTCTGTGAATGAGCTTTAGCTTCGTGCTTCTGTAGATTTGGCAAGTCTTCTCTGCCTTCATTCACATGTTGATTCAGATGTTGAGTATTGGGCTCTGCCTGTGGCGCCCTTCTCTAGTTTGACATTGATCCATTGTTCAACAGCTGTTTTGGTTGTGATTGTTCATCTAGCAACAGATCCTTCTATCATGGGTCCAGTTTACAGCACCTTTCGATTTCACAGGCTTGTCATGAGAGACTTTGTCAAGGACCCTGTAGAAAACCAGATACCCCGTGTCTCTGCCATTCCCCTGATCCACCAGGCTAATAACCAAAGTGGAAAGAAGGAGACTGCGTTAGGGTTATACAAATGCGTGGGTTAGGGCTGTGGATTCTCTAGCTTTCTGTGAAGGAAGAAGGTGGCCTGAGAAGGCTCTGAGGATGGTCAGGGTGGGTCCATGCCTGCACGGGTTCCCTGAGCGCCCTGGAGCACATGCCAAGTGTGCTGGAGCCCATCTGACCCGTAAGCAAGAGTTCACTGTGCGCACCTCTTCCCCGCTCTGTGCTCAGTGACTCCATGGTTGCCACAGTCAGCCACGGTGGGAGGGTTTACACGCCAGCAGACACTACAAGTCAGGTCCCCTACCTCCCTCTGCTGCTGCCCTTGTAGCCTACGCAGTTTGGAGAGGTTAGTAACCGGCAGGCACCGTGGCAACGCTGTTCTGGGGCCGCAGCCTCGCCCTGAACGTGGAGGCAGGTCCCATATGAAGAAAGGGACATCAGCAGTTGGGTCCTCTCTCCCTGTCTCAAGAACTCTCTTTTCTAACCCCACCTTTTCTGCTGATGTCGCCTCAGGATGTGGACTCTTTAGATGAGAAGATGAAGAGCTTGGATGTGAATCAGGACTCCGAGATCAAATTCAACGAGTACTGGAGACTGATAGGGGAGCTGGCCAAGGAGATCCGGAAGGAGAAGGCCCTGGAGATCCGGAAGAAGTAAAGCCCCTGGCCAGGATAGGGCCGGGCTGGCCAGGCAAAACCCCCTCCCCCATATAGCTTCCTCCTTGAAACACAGGTGTTTCTTGTTCCCACCCTACCCTGCTTTCTTCTCTTGAGAGTACGGGCTTTGAGAGCTTCCCTGGACTTGAGAGTGGGTCCAAACATTTTGAGCTCTTTAAGGACCAGGAATGTTACTCATCTTTGAACATCATTCTGCAGCATTGAACACTGGGTCTTGTATTGATTACTAGGGAGGTGCTCAGTAAATAAATGGCTGATGAGGGGTGCCTGCGTGGCTTGGTCAGTTGAGCATCTGACCCTTGACTTCGGCTCAGGTGGTGATGCTATGGTTCGTGTATTTGAGCCCCGCGTCAGGGTCTTTGCTGACAGTGTGGAGTCTGCTCGGGATTCTCTTTCTTCCTGTCTCCCTCTTTCCCTTCCTCAAAATAAATAAATAAAATAGATAAATGGTTGATGAATGAGTATATGAAAGGAAGAGAACAGATCTCTGGGGCAGGTGAAGTGACTCTTATTCCACAGGCGCCTCCTGGAGCCCAGGGGCATGGTCTCTGCTCACACCTTTCTCATACCTGGGGTTTGTGTCACTGGACGATAATGGCAGCAGTGAACTTGTGTTGAGGGCTTGCTATGTGCCAGGCACAGTACTAAACACTTTTCCTTCGGTATCCTGGTTGATTCTCACAGCCTTTTGAGGGAAGGTACTATTTTTAAGTTCTGTATTAAAGATGAGGAAACAGGTTTTAGAGACATTCACAAAGACAAGAGTAGGTGGAACTGGGTTGAAATTCCAGAGCCTCTGTGATGAACTGGGATCCTCTCTGGATGGGCAGTGTGGGAACACTCGGCCTTCTTCTCCTTCCTCCTTCATAGCAGGGGTGAAGCAGAAGAATGGACATAAGATTCTGGTATGAAGACTGTGCGATGGGTTCCCCTCTCCCCACCCTTCTTGGCTTGAAGGGCTTGTGGTCTGCACTGCCCGCCACCAGAGGGGGCAGGGGTGGGGCAGCCCAGTGGGCGCTGCCTCCCCGCAGCTGTCACTGCGGTGCCTGGTGTCCATCTGGGGCAGCCATTACTCCAGAGGAACATTGAGGCTGAGACAACCTCCCCACCACACACCAACGAACGTTCCCAGATTGAGACCTTCCATCTAAGTGCCCTCAGACTGAGAGACCTCTGAGGAAGCCCCAGCCTGGGATTCCTTGAGGCACCATTTGGCCGAGACATTCCAGAGTGGATCTCACGGGGGCTTCCTCCAAACCAGAGACCCTAGGAGAGACTCTTGACGAGAGACTCCTCAGAGGGACCCCAGGTTGAGTCACTCCTGGAGAAGCCCTCAGATTGGGAGACCCTCAGAGAGGTCCTCAGAGCAACACAGAGTGAGACACTCTTGGGAGGGCCTTTTCATGGAAGGACACTTCTAGATGCACTCGACTGAGGCCAGAAGTACAGCGGGGCCCGAGGAGGAGACGCAAGGGGCCGTGTTGGGAGGCACACTTCAGCTTCCGGGCCCGCCTCATCCTTGCCTTTACCTGCACTGACTCCCCTGCCGCTCTCCCTTCCCTGTCCCGGCAGGTGAGGGGCCCCTTGGGTTGTGCAGAGGCTTCCTGGGATGTCCTCCACACTGGACTGGAGGAGTTGGGATCGGGAAGGCATGGGGTTCTGGGGGAGGGAGGAGCAGGCAGCCCAACCAGTTTGGAGAGGTTGTTAACAGCCAGGTAATCCGCTTGGGCCTCACACGTGGCTGTGCACGCTGGCAGAGGGGAGCCCCAGGGGGGTCAGGGCCGCACTCGGTGAGGCCCCTCTGCCTGGCTGCCCTACTCCGGCTCCTTCCTCACCTGTTGACCGTGGGGACTGCAGGCTCGAGTGTCACCACCCAAACTGGCCCTGGTGCGAGCAGTATGAGTGTGTGTGTGTGTGTGTGTGTGTAAAAGAGAGAGAGACATCAAAGTACAGAGAGGTCCCTGGGGACCTCTCTCAGCTCACATGTCCCTCACTCCCTGTGGACCACAGCCCTGTGTTATCAGCCTCTGCTTCTCCTTCGTTCCTGGTATTGATTCAAAGCCCCTCCACTCCCCTGCCCTGCAATTCCTCCGGGACTTTCCTCCCAGGCTCGCCCCCACAGTGTCGCCAAGGCCCCCTTCTGCCCTCCCAACCTCCCCTTCCCCTTCCCTTGCCTTGATTCTGCTTGCTGGTCTGGGGCCAGGGCCCCCAGCCCCATCCCTCCAGGGTTCCCTCCGGTGGCACAGTGGGCAGGCTCTCAGAACTCTGGCCAATAGAGGGTGGGGCCCACACTGCTGGCCTACAGCCCAGGCTGCTGCAATAACAGGGGTGGCTTAGGGATGAGGCCCAGCCCCCTGCCTTCCCTCCCTGCCCCCAGGTATAAGAGCTGAGCTCAGGTGAGCTGACTCCCAACATCCGGTCCCAGCAGCTGCTAGCAGGTAAGGAGACCCAGGGCTTTTCACCCAAATGGCTGCCCCTGTCCAGAGGACACACTTAGCTTATTCTGCCCTGGCCTGCCCGGAGAAGGGCAGGGGGCCAGGGCCCGGATGCTGGTGTGTGTGTGTGTGTGTGTGTGTGTGTAGCAGAGGTGAATGGTGGGAAGAAGTGGGGAGATTGATCTAAAGTGAGACCCAAGGGGTTCCCTCTGGATGGGGAGCCTGGGGTCTGTGATCTTAGCTCCTGGATCCTTCACAGGGACCAAGCCTCGTGTGGAGTTGGCTCTGACCCCCTGAGCGAGGCACCAAATACTGAGGGTACAGCCTGGCCTCAGTCTTCCTCTTTCTCTAGGTAGATCATGAGCCATCGGCTCCTCTGAGGCTGCTGTAGGACGACACGGCTCTCACCAGGACAAGACACGAGTCACCATGGGGCAGTGTCGGTCAGCCAATGCTGAGGTGGGCCCATCCATGCCTGGCCTTTCTGTTCCCACACTCCACGCCTCCGCCCTGTGGGTCTGCGTCCTCGGTCACGGCTGCCCCTCGCCTTGGTCTTGCCCTGCACTCTAGACCTTGCTCGAGAGACCCAGACTCCTCTCTTGTGCCCACACGGAGCGATGCACACGGAGCCCTCCTGGGAAGAGAGTGTGCTGCGCGCTGGGACCTGCCCTGCGTGGGGGCTGGGGGGGACAGGGAGGAGGCCTTGCCCAACTTGTGGCTCAGGCTGGGCAGGGGCCAGTGGGGGAAGGGGCTTGGATGCTGGGCGTGGGTGGGAGCCTCTTGCCTTCCAGCTGTCTTCTGCCCTATTGGCCGTGGGGGCCTCGGGGAGGTAGGGTGTCCTAGGGTGGTTGGAGCTTTCCTGACATGCGTGATGCCCCCCGCCCTCAGGATGCCCAGGAATTCAGTGACGTGGAGAGGGCCATTGAGACCCTCATCAAGAACTTCCACCAGTACTCTGTGGAGGGTGGCAAGGAGTCGCTGACCCCTTCCGAGCTACAGGACCTGGTCACCCAGCAGCTGCCCCACCTCATGCCGGTACTGAGGGAGTGGGCCCCACCCCAGGCAGCGCCCTGACTTCCCAGGCCAGGTCTCCAAGGCCCCACCCCCGCTGCCACGGCCCCTGGGCGGGAGGTGCTGCCTTGCTGACGGTGGTGTCTTCTGTCCCCTCAGAGCAACTGTGGCCTGGAAGAGAAAATCGCCAACTTGGGCAGCTGTAATGACTCCAAACTGGAGTTTGGGAGTTTCTGGGAGCTGATTGGAGAAGCAGCCAGGAGTGTGAAGCTGGAGAGCCCTGTCCGAGGGAGCTGAGAACCTTCTTCTGGAATTCTTGGGGGGATGTTGGGGAAAGGGGACCTTAGAGACCATGGGCCTAGAAACTCCTCTCCTCCACCACACGGTTCCACAGTCTGCACCTGCCTCCCCTCTGCAAGGTTCAAGCCCTTAGTGATCCTTCTCAGGGGTCTCTGTGTACTTCTGGACACAGAGTTCACACTCTGTGAACTCCTGGGAGCTCCGTGGGACTAATGGGCCCAGGAGTCCCCACCAGCGGGAGGCTCGGGGGCAGGCTGGGCCCAGGGGCGGGTGTGACAAGATGCTGGAGGGCTAAGGGTGGGCTAAGGCCACGTGATCTGGTGTGGGGAAGGGCAGAGAGGAGGCGGGCTACTGGGTCTGATATGAAGAGGAGGGCTGGGAATGGGGCTGTATATTTGGTACTAACAAGGGTCTCTGGGAGCCTACCCTTCCTAATCTCTTCTCCAACCCAAACAGAAACTGTCTGTCCAGTGTCTGGCTCTGCCCCAGCCTCCTCCCAGGACCCTGTCCCTGGGCTAGGGGAGGGGAAGAGAGAAAGCAGGCTGGGGGAGAGGCCGAGGAGGGTGTCACTTTGGGAGAGGGCCCGCTGGGTGCCTGGGCATTTAAAGAATGATGGTTGTTTTGTATCACGTGATTAATAAAAAAAATGGAAAAAGCGACTGATGTCATCTTGACTGGATACCTCCCTCCCTCGGGCCACGGATGAGGGACGGGCGAGGGGCGGGTGGGCGAACGGCAGAGTCCTTGGTGGCCAGGACATGTGGGGTTGCAGTGGCTTCAGTGGGAGTGAATGGGGACTCACTTTTCCCCATGGATTTGGGGGGAGGATGGGCACCAGGCCCCAAGCCTGGAGGCCTGGTCCTCTCTGAAGCACAGGCTCTTCTTTGCCAAGGGGCTGGCCCTCTGCCAGGAGAGGAGGACATGTGTGCTCACCTGGGGAAAGGGTTACGACCAGGTGTACTAGAGCCTGGGGGACTCGCCTGGTTCTGAGAAACAGGCTGATGGGCCTGGGTTTGAACGCAGCCCTGCCACTCCTTATCTCTGGAGCACTGGGCATGCTCTCAGAGTATCAGTTTGCTCATCTGTCAAATGGGGATTACCGTCTCTCACAGATTTGTTAGGAGGATAATGGACACATCACGGGAAGTACTCAGCATAGAGCTTGACACAGAGTGAGTGCCCCCAGCTGGAGCCACCCTTGTCGGAGTGGATGGGTGGGTCCCCTCTACTTTCAGCTATCGTCTCCACAAGTTGACTAGCCAGTTTCCTTGGGTGTCCTGGGGAAGGGCTGGAGGGTGTTTCTGGAAGAATCCTCTGCTGCACATGGCAGGTCCTAGGAGTGGGCATCAGCTCATGGTGGTCTGAACGTACCAAAGCCCAGGGGCCAGGCTCTGTGGCTGCCTTCCGACTGGGCCCACAGAAACGAGGCTCTGCTCTTGAGACCCTCGCTGGCCAGGAGGTTTCTGTGCTCAGCCAGGCTGGCCTGGAATACTAACTGCACTGCCGGAAACTGGGCTCCCAGTGACCCAGGTGAGCAGGGCAGGTGACACCCCTTTCTCTCTCCACTGACGGGGCTCTGCGCAGGCCCTGCAGGGCGAGCGGGGTGAGGTTGTGGGGCTGCCAGCTTCCACCACTCCCTCTGGGGTGGGGGCGGAGGGGCGTTAAAAAAGGTGTGTATCCCTTTAACAAGGGCCCAACCCCAGGGCCAAGTCAGAGGGAGCTCAGTCGCTACCTCCCCACTGAGCCAGCTCCCAGGCACAGCCCGAGTGGGACAGAGTCTGGGAGCGGGAGGGAGCGGGGAGGAGTCCTGGCCCAGCTGAGTGGGGAGCTGCCTGGCAGTGCCCGAGAGCCCTGCTGGAGAGGCCGCAGTCCCAGGAAGCAGGTGAGCACCGCAGGCCGGTCCTGGGAGGCCTGGGGCTGCCAGAGAGGCCCTGCAGGCGTGGGGGGCCTGGGGAGGGGGCGGTGAGGAGGGCCTGGGGAGGGGGCGGTGAGGAGGGCCTGGGGAGGGGGGCCCTGCTAGAGACTGGGCAGGAAGGGTCCGTTAATCTTTAACTTTCCCGCAGGCTGGTTTGGGAAGGGAGACTTCTGTGGGGTTGGGAGTTGGAGAGGCCTTCAGAGGGGTGGCCGGGCGGCAGGACCCCCCTCCCCAACCCAGCTGCTGCCTGGGCTCTTCTCCAGGGCCTGGGCCGCAGGGCAGAGAGCTCAGGAGCTCTGTCGCAGCTGCTCCGACCCTCCTTTAACAGAAAAAGGGCAAACGCATGTTTGTTGTGGGGGAGAGTTGGGGGCTGGTCAGACCTGGACACTGCCTCGCGGGTGCCTCGCGGGCGTCTCTGGGATCTGTGCCTGGGAGAGGTGATGGGGTCCATGAGGAACCGGGAAGGGCCCAGGGAGCCCAGGAGGCAGGCGCGGGGCGGGGTGCGGCTCGTTTCCACTTCAGGACCCAGGCAGGTTGTGGCTTGACTGGCTTTGCCTGGCAGGGCCACCTGCGCCAGTTGCGGCCGCGTGTGCCCAGCCTTGTGGGGACAGGGGTGAGGGCAGGGGTGCTTCGGGGTGGGGGGAGCCCCGGAGGTGTGGGCCAGTGGGACTCAGCCTTCTTCACGGCTGGTGAAGAGTGGTGTGGCTGTTGGTGAGGCCAGGGCTGGTGGTGTGTGTGAGTGTCCACACCTCAGGCCAAGCCTGGCTAGAAAATGCTCCAGAAGTGGGTGGGTGTGAAGAGGGCTCTGTGTGAAATCCACGCAGTGAGTTCTGTGAGGCTGGGGAGGGTGAGGCAGGGCCACTTGTGTGAGACATCAGTTTGAAATAGCCCTGCAAACAGGGTGACAGGTTATGGGCCCAGTTTGGATGCCACCTTCCCTGCAGACTGAGGACGGTTGGGGCCAGTGAGTGGATTAAGGGAGTGAATGAGTGAGTGAGCGAGAAAACCAGTTAGGTGAATGAACGAGTCGGTGAATGAACGATTCAGTGAATGAATAAGGAAACGAATGATGAGTGAGGGAACGAGTTTGAGGTCGATGGAGGGGACACAGAGAAGGCCAAATGTGTGCTTGAGGGCAGGCCAGGCTCCAGAGAGGACGGAGACCCAAGTTCAGAGATGTCTCCCAACACCTGGAATCGGCCCGGGCCTCCAGCAGAGCGTGTGTGGTGGGAAGAGAAGGCGGACTGGGGGGCTGTGCTGGCTGTTCAGGGCTCCAGACTGAAGGCACTGGGCGTGGGGCAGGGGGCTGCAGGGGCCAAGACCCAGGGGCAAGGGTCGGAGCCAGGGAGGCTCTGGGAGAAGTCAGCAAGCTGGGCCGAGGTGGGCGGGTGGGGGCGGGGCCTCTCGGTTGCTCCAGGGTGAGTCAGCCAAGGAAGGGACCAGGAAGGCGCTAGGGGAGGGCTGGGGGCCCCAGGCGAGAGCGCCCTTTGGAGGACAAGTGGTCCCCCCACTCCCACTTTAGGGACGGCTCCAATATGCGCGCCCACCTCCGCTTCCAGCTCTCGGGCCGGCCCGCCTCCCGCCAGCCCTTCCCCGGCCAGCCCCTCCTAGAGACGCCAGGCTGAGGCAGGCGGGAGGAGCAGATGCCTTGGGTGGGTGTGGTGGCAGAGCCTGCCACCTGGCCCCCAGGGGAGGGAGGGAGGGGAGGCTGATGACACCCGACTAGCTCCGTCTGACATCTTTCCTTCAGAAAAAGCTGTGGAAAAGCACTTATCCAGACGGTTATCTCCCCGAGGGTGGGGGGCGGGAGGTGGACTGGTGGGGGCGGGGGAGGCAGGCAGCTCCCTGCCCTGGGTGCTCAGCGGCCCGGTAAGGGCTGGGACGGGGTATCCAGGGAGGGCAGGAGGGGGCTGCCTGGAGAGAAACAAGACTCCAAGAAGACTCGTGGTGAGGAGGGTGGGGGGGCAAGGGGGGGGCATTTTTCTCTTTCCTCTTCCGGACTATTTCCCACAGGGTTGCTCCCTTAGGGAACAAGGACTGGGTTGGGTTAGGGTGGGGGGGGTCTCTGAACCCCTCTTCCCGCTCCCAGAGCTTGGTTGGCAGTAGGCTTGGCGGAGTCCTTGCTGAAGAGGGTGCAGCTTTGGGGATGCCCAAGAATGCGGGCCCTGGGCCTTAAGCACTCGCCACTTCAGGGCAGCAGAGAAGTTTCATGCATTGACACTTTCCTTCCTCACTTCTCACTTGTGAGTATTAGGGTGTTTGTGGAAACATCGAGCCTCACAGTCACGCACTTAATGAACAAAGAGCACAGGGGGCGAATGTGGCTTCCTGCTGACCTGCTCCATACTTCACCCTTCCAGACCAGAGTGGTGAGGCGGGCGAGGCCGGGAGAGAAGGGCAGGTGCCCCGCTGGAGATGTCCCTGCCCGCTCGTCTCTCTCCACCCTTCTTCCTTCCCACATTAGGGCCTAGTCCCTCCAGGTCACACCTTTCCTTCAGAAAGAGCCTCGTAAAAGAAATAGGTAAAAGGAATAGCGTAGAGGGTGGTCGGGGTCATCACATACCTGGCGCCAGGGCTGGAAGGAGGTGGAATGTTTATAGAACATCTGTGTTGAGTAAGCCGTTGGACCAGGCAGTGCAGGCGAGGGGAGGTGCAGAAATTAAGAGCAGGGGCTTGTGTACCTAAGACTGTAAGAAAATGGTCCCAAAGCCAATGAGTCGTGCCCTTTGGTTCAGAACACACAATGGTTACATGGAAGAAACACTGCCCTTGCCCCACAGAATGTCTATCTTCTGGGGACACCAGACCCCAGAAGAGACAGCAGCCACTGCCGTCATGGGCCCCGTGCACGTGGGCCGGGAGTCTGGGAGCCGGGCAGCAGGGTGCTCAGGGCAGGCGGGGGCCGTGGCAAGGCCTGGATGTCAGCTGCGTCCACCTTCCCTTGCCAGGACCGAAGGGGCAGGGAGGCTGTAGCTCATCCTGGGCTTGGGGGCGGGAGGGGAGGCTCAGTTCTCCGGGGTTCACTTGGGGGGGCTCTGGGCATGGGCGGCGACTCACAGAATAGACCCGCCTGCTCCCCTCATATCCTGTTATTCAGAAGGCTGCATCCGCCTGGACTGTGAGTGCCTTTTGTCCTGGGGTGAGGGGGTGACGTGTGTGGCCTCTGACTGGCTGCAGCTCTGTCTCCAGCTGGCGCAGAACCAGCCTCACTCCTCTTTAGGTAATGGGGTGGAGGGTCTTGGGGTCCTGCTAGGTATTTAGGGGTGGGTCTGAGGGAGGGCGGGCCAGCAGGGTGTGGCGGGCGCAGAAGGCCTGGCTCCGCGGGGGAGGGCCTAGGTCCCTGCCACCTGCCTCCTTGCCTGGGGCAGGGGGTGGGTGTGGGGGGGGTACGTGGCTGCTGGCCCCCCCTGCCCCGTGGCTCATCCTGGCAGTTTCAAGCTGTGCTTGCTCTCCGGGCAGGGGCCCGGGGTGGGTCAGCTGTGGAGACAGCAGACACGTGGGCCCCCCTCTGCCCCCTTCCCACCGGAGCTCCTGCTCTCACCCCGGCTCTGACAGGCCCAGGGCCTGCGGCTGGGGCGGCGCCCAGAGAACCTGCCGGGGCGGTCGGGCTGCTGAGCACCTGCGTTCGAGCAGCCACTCTGTTCTGGCTCCAGGCTTACCCTGGTGCCGCCTTTCCCCTGAGGACCTGCCCGCCTGGAGGCCAAGGGGTTTGGCCTGAGGGGTCTCCTCACCTGCCTTCTTCACGCCGCCCAGGCCCCGCGAGGCGTGAGGCAGTGAGATGGCGGACAGCTACACGGAGCTGGAGAAGGCCGTCGTGGTGCTGGTGGAGAACTTCTACAAATACGTGTCTAAACACAGCCTGGTCAAGAACAAGATCAGCAAGAGCAGCTTCCGGAAGATGCTTCAGAAAGAGCTTAACCACATGCTGACGGTGAGGCCCCCCCTCACGTAAGGGCCCTGCCCGCCCCCAGCCTCCCAAGCCTGTGTCCTCGCCCGGCACCCTTCCCCACCGTGGCCTTCGTCCGTTCCGAGTGACCCCCGAACCGGGGCCCCACCACCGCCCAGGCCCTGGTCCTCTTCGGGTGCCCAGGCCTGACCAGGGAGGTCCCGGGACTCGAGGGCTGCCGCCCTCCTCCCCGCTGACCCCCGTTTGTCTCCAGGATACGGGTAACCGGAAGGCTGCTGACAAGCTCATCCAGAACCTGGACGCCAACCACGACGGGCGCATCAGCTTCGACGAGTACTGGACCTTGATAGGCGGCATCACCGGCCCCATCGCCAACCTCGTCCGCCAGCAGGAGCAGCAGAGCGGCAGCTAGGCCCCCCCGCCCCCCCCCCCCACACCCTGGCGCTCTTCCCAGGCTCCCCGCGGCCGCCCCGTCCTCACTCCTCCCTGCACACCTCCTGCCGGACAGGGCAAGGGCCCCTCTGCGAGTGTCGTGGTCTGGGGGTGTCTCCCAAAGGGCCTTAGTCCCTGGAGCCAGCAGGCCCCGGGGGCCCCTCTGTGCGGCTTCATCGCTGGTTGGGTCCCCACGAGTCCCCTGCTCAGTCCACACCCCTCGGCGTCTGGGGCCCTGCCCGACTCTGGCCCCTCCTGAGCTCCGCAGCAGAGGCCTCGCCTCTTTCTCTCAGCCCGTTTGCCGGGTAGAGAAGCTGTCCAGGGACTGTGGGTCAGGGAACAGTTGGGCAGGGCTGCCCCCCACCCCCCTGCTGGTCACCACTGAAGTGATGGTAATAAAGGCTGGATTTGGAGTCCGTACCCTTCACCCCACCGCTCTGTGACACTCATTGCAACCTTTCCATCCCGTGGAACCTCCTCATTCCTTGGTGGTCTTTGCCCTGGAGCCCTGAGGTAAGGAGGGGTCTCACCAAGAGACCCCAAGGGCAGAGAGAGCGCCCGGACCCCCCGCCTACCCCCAGCGGCTGTCAGCCCTGGGCCAGCGGCGACCTTCCTCTCCCGTCCCGAAGCCCTGTGTCGCCACCTCTGGGCCCGCATCCCTGCCACTCGGACTCGTATTCCACCTCCAGGCACCCAGTGGGTCCCATTAGGCCTCTGTGCTTCCACCAGAGAGAGGCTGTGGCCCTCGGCGCCGCCACCAACAGGTTTCCCAACACCCGGGAAGCTTGTGGGGCGGGAAGCGGGCACGGAGGGCGAGGCCAGAGCCGGGCTGCGGGGGCGAAAGGGAGAGACGGCCTGTTGCTGCTGGAGGGGGCAGCTCTTGCCCTGGGTGAGCCCCCCAGGGCATCTTGACCCCAGTAATTATAAAGGGCAAGAGTGCCCCTCTGTGTTGGCTGTGGTTGCTTCATTCATTCATTCATTCATTCATTCAGAACATAGTATCTTGTATGTGCCAGACATGGGAGACACTGCAATAGAGACAGGAGCATCAGATGTGTTTCCTGATTTTACACGACTTTGAGTTTAGAGGGAAGGAGAACAAATAAACACACGATCACACTAACAAATGGGTAATTACAGATGGGGGTAACTTCTGGGGGATCACGCTTGTGGTAATTTTGAACAAAGAAATATGGCTTAGCCTGGGGTGGGGAGCACCCTTGTGGAAGCCATGCTTGAGCTGAGATGTGCAAGATGAGCAGGACAGACAAAGGGCAGAACTGAGGGGAGAAGGGCTCCCCAGACAGAGGGACCATCACATACAAAGGCCCTGTGGCAGGAAGGAGCATGATGGGCCTGAGTTTCTGAGGGAAAGTGAGCCAAACAGACAGAGATACAAAGCAAGGCTGGAGAGGTGTACAGGACTTGGGGAGCATGTTAACGATTGGTAGCCATTGAATGGTTTTTTTTTTTTTAGCAATGTGAGTGTGAGTGTGTGTGTGTGTGTGTGTGTGTGTGTGTGTGCGCGTGCGCTTGTGCATGTGATGTGATTGGAGTTGCATTTTGAATTATTTCAGTCTGCAATATGGAAAAGATTAAGAGAGAAGGGTAGGGAGACCAATGAGGAGGTGATTTTTAACAAATAATAGCAAATAATAGCTAATTTTTACCAAGTACTTATTCTATACCAGGCCCTGTTCTGAGTATTTGCATGTGTTAACTCCCTAATCCCCACAGCCCAGTGCAGTAAGCACTTGTTTTCTCTGTTTAGTAGCCGAGGAAGCCAAGGCACAGAGAAAGGACCTAACTTGCTGGAGACCCTGGAGGAGTGAGCAGGGCACCCAGGCATTGATTCCAGGCTGCTGCTCTCAACTACACCTGTCTTCTGAACGAGGGTGGCGACAGTGGAGACTCATTCGTGAGGTCAACGTGGCCTTACTGGGTGCTCCCTGCAGGCCAGGCGCTCCTCTGTCTCTGCTCCCAGGGGGTCTGTAGTCTCCCTGGCTCGACAGACACCAGCAGCAAGCAAGCAGGAAGCCACTGGTGCAGAAACACAGGGGGATAGTGAGCTCCCGCGGGTGCCCAGGAGCTTGTCGAGGGCAGGAGCCCAGGGAGAAGAGAAGTCCTGTCTAAAGGGCAGCTCAAGCTTCAGATGTCGGAGGACACACCCCTGCTGGCCTCCCTGCCCCCCGCCCCCCCACTTCTCAGGACAGAAGTGAGGAGGGTCCCAGGTCCCGTCTCTGTGTCACGCCCACATCTAGTTTGTCCTCATTCTGTGCCACTTCTACCTTCAAAAAGCATCCAGAACATTCGTGTCTCTCCCTTGACTGCTGACACATCCATTGGAGTCCCGTCATCTCTTGCTTCAATTTTTGGAATAGGTTTCCGATTATTTCCCAGCGTCGCCTCCTGTCCCTGTATTTTATTTTTTTAAAAGTTTTTATTTATTTATTTTTGAGAGAGAGAGAGAGAGAGAGAGACAGACAGGCAGAGAGAGCATGAGCAGGGGAGGGACAGAGAGAGAGGCGGACAGAGGATCTGAAGCAGGCTCTGTGCTGACAGCAGCGAGCTTGACGCGAGACTGGACCCCACGACCTGCGCGATCATGACCTGAGCCAAAGTCAGACGCTTAACCCACTGAGCCCCCAGGCGCCCCCTCCCCGCCCCTGTAGAGGGACATATACAGCAGTCTCCCTTTTCTGTGACTTTGCTTTCCTCAGTGTCAGTTACCTGTCATCAACCAGTGCTCAGAAGGTGTGAGGTCAGAAGGTCAGAGTAACCTCACGGCGGGTCCCGGGTCCACGCCGCCACCCGCCTCCTCAGGTCATCACATTCATCTCTTATTGAACCTGGTTCGTGACTTCGACTTTATCCTGGGTTACGCACGTGTGGGAACAAACAGCATGTGCAGTGTTGGGCACTACAAGCAGTGTCAGGTTTCGGCCATGCCCTGGGGACCTTGAAACATTCCCCATGGTGGGGGCAGGGGGTGACGACTATATTACATACTCATATACTCATACAGCAGCCAGAGTGATTCTTTCCTTTTTTTTTTTTAATGTTTATTTTTGAGAGACAGAGAGAGACAGAGTGTGAGTGAGGGAGGAATAGAGGGAGAGGGAGACACAGGATCTGAAGCAGGTTCCAAGCTCCGAGCTGTCAGCACAGAGCCCGGCGCAGGGCTTGAACTCACGGAACCGTGAGATCGTGACCTGAGTCAGATGCTTCTGGGTCACCCAGGCGCCCAGTGATTCTTGCCAAATGTAAATCAGATCGTGTCCCTCCTTTGCCAGGAGCTCCCCATTTCCCTGATTGAAAGTGAAAGTCTTTCCAGGGCTGTGAGTGCCCCGCCCCCTCACTCTTCCCCAAGATCCACGTCTCCTCCTTGAGGCCTTTGCTGAAGGTGGCTGTTCCTGCGAGCCTCCCGTGGCCACTTTCCTTAAAATTGAACCTCCCCAACGGCGCTTCCTCCCTCCGGCTTCATTGCTCAGCATCGCACCTGTAACTTCTGAAATACTGTGCATTTCGCTCACTGTTGGCGGGCTTTCCTCGAGGCAAGCTCCCAGAGGGAGGGTCGCCTCGCTGCTCCCGTCCCCCGGGGCGTCCTCTCGCAGCACGGGCCAGAGACGGCTGTCCGCCCCCGCGGGGCCGGCACTCTCCCCGCCCTTCCCTCCAGCGCCCCACCGACGCGGTCCGGCGGCCGGCGCACCCCCTCCCGTCTCCCTCCGCTGCCTCGCCGCGTCCGCTCCGCGCGCGAGTTCTGCCAGTTCTGCCTCAGACGTCAGCCCCGAACGGCGCACGTTTTCCCCTCTGAGGCTCCTGCCAGCGTGTGCGACCCCCCTGCCCCAGCCCGCACGGGGTCTCCTGTTCCCGGCTTGCCCTGCCGCAACCTTTTCTTATTTTTTTTAATTAAATTTAAAAAAAAATGTTTACTTCTGTTAGAGAGAGAGAGAGAGAGAGAGACAGACAGACAGAGACAGAGACAGAGACAGAGTGCGGGCAGGGGAGGGCAGAGGCGGAGGGAGACACAGAACCCCAAGCAGGCTCCAGGCTCTGAGCTGTCGGCGCTGAGCCCTCAGCCTCTTTCTAGAAACAACTGCTTGGCTCATCTTGTCTCCTTTTTTTTTTTTTTTTAAAGTTTATTTATTTATTTTGAGAGAGAATCCCAAGCAGGCCCCGTGTTCGCTCCCTGCCCTGTTAGCGCGGAGCCCCACACCGGGCTCCGTCTCAGGGTGGCGAGGTCCTGACCTGAGCCGGAATCGGAGTCAGACGCTTAGCTGGCTGAGGCCCCCGGGACCCCCTGCTTCTCTTTAAGAATGTCCATGACCCGCTTCCTGCAGGAGGAGGAGGAGGCTCGGTGGTCCTTGCCCCTCAGAGCTGAAGAACGGGTCTCTCTCCCGGACAACAGAGGGAGCAAAGCGCCAGTTTGCTGAGCGGAAGTACGAAGCTCTCGGGACTGAGAGGGGCCCCGGCCGGGTAGCCGCCAGGGTTTCTGTCCCTGACTTTTCATTGGACCTTATCGGAGAGTTTGTGATTCCGGGCAGGTCTGGAATAGTTTATCATTTCCCCCCACTCCCCACCACTGGGTTCCGGGTCAGCCTCCCTCTTGCAGCAGCAGCCTCCCTGCCTCCCCTCATCTCCCCCTGCCTAAGCTTAACGCTTTCCCCATCAGCAGTAGCAGCAATAACAAAAAATTGAGCAATGCGGCAAAATAATTGATGCCACAAAGTAATCGCTATCCCACTGCCCGGAAGTAGGCACTAACATTGGATGAACACCACATGTATCTCTTGCAGTATAGACAACTAGAAAGACTGAGAGATAGACTTACAGGAAAAGGTCACAAAAATGGACCATAATATATGTTATCTATAATAAAAAGTATAATTTAAGTTTTACTTGCATATAACAAAAGAGGAAAATGTCAAACGGAGAATAAACGAATTACTAAACGAACTTCAGGTAAATATTTTTCATTATGAGAAACATTAATTTGTAAAAGATTCTAGAGATTATAAAACAACTCCTAACCACATTTTCATCATAGATAACATCTTTGAACTGTGCTGCAAAGATGAGGAAAATAGTACATTTACACTTCCCTTCTCCCTGTCCCCATCTACCAATTTCTGATGGTTCTATTAGTTAATTTTAAAATGTCGACGTTTCTGGCATTCAGATTCTGTTCTGTAACCATGATCTCCAAGGCAATGTGAGTCTTAGCTCCAAGAATCCAGTGTTCACAGACCGAGTTTTCAGCCTGGCTTCTTCATTCCTGCAGCCTTTATCTGATTCATTTGGTTTGTGGGATTTCAAAGGGCTCTGGGCTTCTGTGTTCCCAGAGTCCGGGAGCTGCCTGACAGCAGAGGCCTCGGGCCGCACATTTCTCTCTGAGCTCCACTGTCTGCTGCCCTTACGAGGCTCAGG